TTAAGGAAAATTTTTTTTTCCCTTATGTAAAAATTTTTTTTTTTTTTTTCAAAATTTTTATTTTTCACTCATGTTTAGACTGCTGAATTAAACCTACTAGTGGGCAAACCCAAAGTACATAAAGTAAAGCTTTTCTTAAAATTCACTCCTACTATCTAATTTTTATGAAGATAAAATGATTTTATGAAAACAATTTTATTTCAAATGGCAAGTTTTTTTGTTTAGGTAAAGAATATTTTCATTTGAAAATGAGCAACGAACAGTTTGTTTAATGCCCTCTATTGGATTAAAGAGTACAAAAAGTATTTTATTTGGTAAAGGGACATAATTTTAATTTTTGTGAGCTGTAACTTTTACCCTGAGACAAAAATTTTTTTTTATAATGTAATTAGAAATACTGCCTCTCAGCACACATATAAAAATGATACCATTCTTAATAAATTTTTATAAATTCTTCTCATTAATAATAAACACATCAGACTATTCCGTTAAGAACAAATAACAATCATCCAAATCGTAATATTGATAAAATAATTGAATCAATATAGAAATTCTGCTGTTTTCTTCTTGATTTGAATTATTTTTTTAAAGTTCAAAAAAATCAATTTTAACATCTTAGATTTTTACAAAATATTTACAAAATTATTAGAACACCAGTTTTCTCTTCTTTTTCTAGAATAGCAGCGTAATTATGATACAACTAAGACATTAAACAGCAAACAACCCAATACTTTTTTTTTTAAAATTAACATTAAAGCAGAATTTTATACATTTTAAACTGGTCTTTCAAGAAACAGGAAGTGTTATTAGAAAAAGTATATAATACTTTTTCTAATAGGATGCAAAATGATGGCTAAATTGAATTAGCGGAACATTTCAAAAAGTTGAATTTAATTATTTCCTATTCCAATTAATTAAATAAAAATCTCAAATGGATTAGATATGGTTATGAAAATTAATTCGTTTAGACATTTTTGAAAATTGAACATTTTATAAAAGTTTTAAGCTTCTACAGAAATTAATTACATCATATCATCATTTAGATATTTATTTTTTATAGTTAATCTTTTTTATTAATAAAATAATGAAAACCCTTCGTTTGACTTTTTTTTGGTTTCAAAATTTCTTTATTTTACATTTTCATTTCTTGAATTTAAAAATTTATGACAGAAGAAAAATATTTAATAAGGAAATTAAGTTTTCAAATTTTAAATTAAATAATGAATTTAAAACTATGAAAGATTAAATATAATGAACTGATCAGAAATAAATCTATTTTAAATAAGAAAAACTTATCAAAAGTTTTTTTCATTTTATTCCTCTTTTTCATCATCTCTTATCCTAAATTGTATTGTTGTTATAAATCCATTTCTGATAACACAATAAAAAAAGAAGCACAGCAAGCCTTCCCAACTCATAAATTTTCCAAGAATTACATCCATCCCTTCATGTCCATTACCAAATCCAATAAGGTTAGCTAAGCACATTATTTCAATTTGGAATCCTCCACCTAATCTACATAACCATATAAACCATGGCTTTTTATAGAAATATTCCTTATCAAAATATCTTTACAAAGCTATTTCTGGAATAAGCGCCAAACAAATGATCCAAGCCCAAAGTAAAAGATCTAATTTAAAATCATGCCATAAAGCGACAAATGTAAAAACAACCCAAATGTTCAAAGATTTATATTTATTACCCCCCATAGGAACATATATATATCTAATAAGCCATTAGTTGAAACTTCTATGCCAAGATCTCCAGAATCCACTGAAATTATAATTATTATAAATGCATCTATTCATATTTTCAGGTGTTTCAATTCCTATTATAGAAAATTAAGTACCATCAAGCAAAGCCCATCCCCTTGCAATTCTCCAAATTGTGAGAAATTTATACCATAAAAATATGAGATTTGTGAAACCCATTATATGAAATTCAAAAACAGAAAAGGTTTTCAAAATTTTTTAATTATCTGCTATTTTAGGAAGAGCATTAGGATAGCAAATGTGTAAAAAAATCTCAAAAGTCAATAAATCTATCAAATAAACCCTTAAAATATATTTTAGGACTTATGCCCGATTCATTTGTGATTGTGGAATTTTCAATTAAGAATTAAATGCATTAAAGCTTATAGATGGGCCTGAAAAAAGTAATGGAACATAAAATAAAAAGCTAAGATAACCTAGAAAGTTATATTCTTTCAAAGGTTAAGGTTCTTGTACTCTAGCTCGATATGTTGTAAATTCAGGTTTTTCATGTATTAAATCATATCTTTATTATTTCTCAAAAGCTTACTTAAATTTGATATCTTATTTATAAGCCCAAACCTTATCAACAGAAAAGCTGATAATTCTCAATAAAATCATGTTGAACACAATGTTCCATCTTAATAATTAATTGCTATTTTTATAAGTATCTAAGAATTGTAAAGTTGGTGATATCATTGTAAATGAATACCCTGAATATATTTCATTTGTCCATAGAGTCAATAATGCTAGAGTCCACAATATATGAATGAAATATTTCATTTTGAAAAATATCTAATAGTAAGTTAAGAATTTCTTTACTTTTTAAAATAAATAATAACCTATGATTATAGCTAACTAAAAGACCATCCCAATATTATGCAAAAAGAATGCGTAACTCAATCCTAAACAAATATTATAACATTATAAATTCCTTAATTTATTTTCCTCTTTGCTTTAGTATTTAACAGTATATGAGCCTATTAAAAAAAGAATTTAAAAAGTCATTAATTCTGTCAAATGTGCAGCAAAGTCTCCCCATTATGAATCTGAATGGTCTCTGAAAACTCCAAAAAAGCCTAAAAATTATTTTGATTAATAAACCTATTTCAGTCTTGGCAACCTGATTTGATTTGCAAATAACTGAGAAGCGATATAGAGAATAAAATTCAATTACAATAATGAAGGCTATTGAAATGTAAAAAGAAGCATTTGAAATGTTGAAGGATTTATTTGAAAATTGTTATCTCATATTATAAAATAATATATATTGATTAATTTACATCCATTCAATATTTCTTAATTTTCTTTGTTCTTTCCTCTTTTTGTCGAACATACAATCCTAAAATAACCCCACTTCCGTTTCTAAAAATGGCCACCAAGATAAAAATTATCATACAATCTAAATTAAAATATTTTTCATAAATATGATTCAGGCAATCTTTCCCCTACCCAAATCCAATAAAGTTTGCAAGACTCATCACTTCAATTTAGAATCCTGCTGCAACAGCAACTACATATTTGAACCACCAATAATCATAATATTTTTCTTTATTAAAGAAATACATAGCCGCCATTTCTGGTAAGAGTGCTAAACAAATCAATAAAGCCCAAAAAAATAAATCAGCTTTGAAATCATGCCAAAAAGCAACAAACAAAAATACTATCCAAATGTTTAATGCTTTATATTTTGAACCACCTAAAGGTATATATAAGTATCGAATCAACCATTAATTAAAGCTCCTGTGCCATGATCTCCAAAATCCACTGAAATTATAATTGTTATAGATACATCTATTCATATTCTCTGGCACATCAATCCCTATATTATAATTATTAATATTCAATACCATCGATTAATGCCCATGCTCGAGATATACGCCAAATTATCATAAATTTATACCAAATAAATATTAAATTAACAAATGACATAACATGAAAGTCATAAAAGGACAATGATTACCAAATATGGTTATTCTCTTTTAAATTTGAAATTGCATTTGGATAACATATGTGCAAAAATATCTCAAATGTTAACAAATTCAATATATATACACGAAGCACATATATTATTACATCTTTAATATTTTTATTCGCTTATTATTTCTGTTTTAATTATGCATTAAATGCATTAAATGTAACTGTTGGTCCTGTTATAAACAATGGAGCATAATAAATATATGCAAGATATGCAAATAAATTATATTCTGGAAGTTCTTGTCTTTATTTTACTAAATCTTGATAATTTTATTCAGAATTTAGAGCTGATATGTGTTTTATTTAGTTTCTTTTAATTAAAATATATCATACTTTTCAATTTCTTACACTGCCCAATAATGATCTAAAGAAAAACTAATAATTCTTAATAACACCAAATTAAAGAGTCGATGCCATTAAATTTGCTGTTGTTCTTTTTAAATTTGATCAAGTATTTCTAAGTGATTAGAAACCATTTTGAAATTAAATCCATCAAGTATTTCATTAAGATACAGAAAAACCATAACAAATGTCCACAAGGATAAAACAAAATATTTAAAATTGATTAAATACTAAGTATAGTGATTACAGTACTTTTTGTAAAATGTAGAATATCATTAAAACTACAAACTAAAAGATAACTCCAAAACTCATTGCAACGAAGCTGAACATCATACCTATTATGATGTTAAAGTATTATAAATTTTTAAGTTAAGTTTGATTATTTGAGATTTTTTTAATTATAAATGATCCTAACAGGCAAAAAAATTAAAAAAGCATTATTGTCCATAGATTCTACTGATAAGCATTCCATTAATAATCTGATGTATCCTTCATTATGCCAAACCAACCTATTTAGAATTAATTTAAGTTACTTTTGGATGTTCCAATAACATGGTAACTTTTGGAAATGTAACAGAATCTAATAATTGAGGCTATTTCTCCAATAACAGCAGTTGAAATCAAAGTATAAATGAGCTATTTGGAAATATTGAAATCCTTTCCCATTTATCAAAATAAAATAAAATTGATCATTAAATAATATGGTAATTAGTATTTTTATTAATTCTAAGGAATAAAAAAAAAATAATGTATATTATAATGATTCTATATTCATTAATTATTATTATACTTATGATTAATTACTAAAATAACAATCAGCTCTGAAAGTGTAACTCAAATTACTTAAAAATAAGAGGCAAATAAACCATCCCCAAATTAGATTTCACTAAATTCCCTTTTTAAAAGTTGTTTATCATCTCTATTATGTTTTAGTTCTTATTTAGAAAAATATAGAGTTGATGTATCTAATAAATTCCATACTTTTGTAAAGTCTATTAAATTATTAAAGGACTCTTCTAAGTCTTGAGGTATTTATCTGATAAAATTTCTCATTTAAATTTGATTATTTCTCTTATCAATTTTTATGTTGTTTTGTATTTCTAATACATGAATATCCTTTAGAAATGTAGCCCATTAATTATTTTCCAATTTATTTTTAATATCTTTAGCTTAAAACATATTTAAATTTGATTTCATAGATGATAGAACTTGTTAACTAATGACACTAGTAACCTATGTAGCTTAACTTATTCTCGTACTTCCTGAAAAATTTGAGAGCATTCTTAGTTTAGTATAATCTCCATCAACAATACTTTGTTATTTTGTTGAAGATATTTTGGGAATATTAAATTAAGGTTAGAAGATTGATTATTGAATTGGTTGATTAGATTAAATAATTCGAGAATTCCCATTGGGTTGAATTTTCTCTTCTTTTAAAATTTAACAAATAAAGCATTCTAGAATAGAATCCTCTTTCTCTATTCTAGATGTCAATTCATCTTGCTCATTGAATTAGATAAATTAAAGATTGGATGGAATAATCTAGGATTCTAAGATATTCTCTTCAAAATCTCTTTCCTCTTCAATACAAGAGTTTAATTAGCAAGATAAAACATATTATCTGAGATTGATTTTAATTTTTTCATACAAATAATTGATACCGATAGGCAAGATACACACTTCAACTGTCCATTAATTCATAATTTCTTACAAATATCTAGTTTCAGCTAAAATTTTTAAATGATATTAAATACCCAAAATATAATCTTTAAAGACAGTAAAGTTGGTGGAAAACTAGATTGAGGCTTAATTGTAAAGTTCGTTAGTTTACTTAACAACTATTTCTAAAATTTATCCATAGAGTGATCCTACTTTAACTTAAGAATGACCAATCCAGTGAATGCTTTATTCATGTAAAGATAAATCAAGAATATTAGATGTAAATTTATTTAAAAGACTATCAACAGCACTCGAACAGTATTTAAAATAATCATCATCAATAATGTGATTTATAATTTATTTCTAATTCTTCATTTGATCTTTGTTAAAATATTCAAAAATAAGAGTTCTTTTATTTTTCAATATTGCGTCAAATGATAAAAATAATTCATTTTCGACAGGATCATTATCAAGGTTCTTAGTACCTTTTATAACAATTTATGTCCATAATCTAACTAATGCACTAGTGAAGGTGATTTGAGGAAATGATGTTGTGTAGTATTTATTGAATAATTGATCTAATTTGTTATACATTTTTTTAAGCGATCTATTCAATGCCCAAACAATTCCAATATAAGATTCCCACAATACAGAATACATATTTAAAAATAGTACTTGCTTTTTATTTTATTTAATGATCATCAAGACATTTCTACAAAAAATGCATCTTTGATAAATAAAATGAAATAGCTGAGCCAACAGTTTCAATAATATTGGAATATTATCTTGATCTAAAGTGCTCGGATCTTTAATAAAATTATCAATAACAATCCATCTTAATTCAAATAATAATTAGGTATGTTTCAAATTTTTTTATTTGAAAGTGGATTCACATTCTTCGTATAATTTATCTGTCAATTAATCCAAAAGAGGTACTTTTTCAACTGCACTATAATCTGTTGTTTTTTAAGCAATTTCTAATTGAAACCAACTAGTTGTTGAATGTTTTAGGATATCATCAGTTAAAATAGGAATTGGAAAAGAGGGATATCTACAGATTTCTATAATTTTATCGGTTATAGAGTAATCTATATTAAATTGAAATGATATTTCTTCTTCTATTTTTCTCAATTAAGATCTAAAGAATTATCTAAAAATAAATTACATGCTTTTATGAAAATTTGAATAGATTTGTATCCATGATTCATCCTAATTTGTTTCAATATTCAATAATTATTCCGAGAATACAGAAACAAAACCTTTATGCAATCCATATTCTACAAAACAGTGTAGCTATAATTTTCTCAAATAATATTGAGTGAGGAAGTTTGAATAAATGTTGCTACTCATCTCAATCATGAATTTCAATTTTTTATTAACCAATTTAAGTTGAATACACTCCTTTATTGTCAAGAAATTTAAAAAATATTGTAAAATTTTAATTGAATATTTAGGCATTTCCTCATCACTCAACTTTCTATAGAATAGAAAAAATAAATTACGTCAATATGTCTTAAGTTTGACATTTCATATTCTCAGATAAACTCTTTTACATTTTATTTCTAGCTTACGAATCCTTTGTTTGTTGTTAACTCATACATAAGCCCATCAATAGATCTCTTTTTTTAGAGCGTTACTTTTCATTTTATGTTTGACGATTGCTTTAATTAGCTCCCATAAGAATTTTAATTAATTCTTTATTTATAACTTACTTATAAAGGACACTTCTAGATGATAAGATCAATATGGAAAAGGAATTACAAAATCAAAAATATGAGATAAATATATATATTCGAAAGAATTACATGGTTTTACTAAAAGTTTATATTATTTATTTATTTTGTTAATAAATATATGGATTAAGTGGAGATGATTTATGAAGAAGAACAATCTCCTCTACATATTAAACGAGAACTAGACATAAATATACCTTATAGAGTATCATTTCCATCTTGCAATAATTAATAACAGAAAGATACTCCTAAAACTGCTATAAGAAACATTGAACATCTAGAATCTGAAGACTAAGGCATTCCTACAGAAACCACTCCTAAAACATAAATAGATGTTTCATCCCCAAGAGTGCCTTTCTTAACGCATTCTTAGATTATGGGTATGAATCAAGATGATGATGATATGCATTACTCCAAGTCAGTGTTTTAAAATCCACTTTCTGAAATACCAGAAGAATAAACACCTAGTCAATTATAAAATGTAATCTAAATATATACTCTAATAAGCCATCCAAACCTTTGAGTTAAGATTTCAATTTAGATAATATGAGTATGGTCAATAGTTAACAACTTAAGTTTAGTAAAAAATCGATTGATAAAGACATGATTGCTCGTCTTGAGCTAGAAAACAGTAAGTAAAAAGAAGAAGTAAAACTTATTAATATTATAAGTATAAAGAATAAATTGTTATAATGGATGCTAAAATTAAAGAGTTGGAAAAAGAGAATTTTATTCTCAAAAAAAAATGTAATCAAGAAAAAGTTAAACAAATTGAACTTTAACTTGAAACTGAATATAAAATTACAACCTTGAATGAATAATTGTATGACTAAGAAGAATTTTATAAGAAATAGATTCTTTCATATAAGAATGATCTAAATAATGCCAAATTCTAAATCACTATGCTAAAATAATAGTCATCTTAAGATCAATTATAACCATAATAGTAATTATCCAAATCTCAAATAACATTATAATAACCATACATCAATTAATAACAATCGATTAAGTTACCTTATCATGTATCATTATCTTAATCTTTCACTGAAATGAATGCAAAAAATTAAAAAGACTTGTATTTGACTCAAACATAATATGAGAGTGTTCATTTAAAAATTGTACAAATTTTACGCCTTATTGATCAATCCATTGATTTTAATAAAAAAGACTTATTTGATTTGATTCAACTCTTGCAAAACAAAATCAAAATGATTCTCAATATGGATGAAGAAGAAAAAATAGATGAACATCGAACTTTAATATCCTACATGAAGTCTGAATTAGGAGAAATCAAATTACTCAGAGGATAATTATCCAAAATTTATCTTGATTATGAATAATTTATAAATAGAAAACAAATTGATTCTTCAGTAGATTAAAAAATAAATGAACTAAATTTATAAATTTTAGGATTCAAATAAGAAAAACTAGAATTGAATGAATTAACAATTATATTATAAAATCAATTGGCTTCAAAAGATTAAATTATTAATGAATTATAATCTAAACTAAGTAATTTCATATATTTTAACTAGATAATTTATCATAAACTGATACACTTAGAAAACAATCACAATTTGTACGTTCTTTGCAAACAAATTCTATGGTAGATTTAAAAATTATTAAAGAATCCCTTAAATAAAGATAAGAAGGAATCAAGTAATTAATTTTATATTAATATTAGAAAGTCATTGAAATCCTAAAATTCTCCTCAAAGTAGATCGCATAATCCATCCCCAACTTTAAAATTTTTAAATTCCCCAAAGTAATTATAAACTTTTATTAAGAAATTCACATAATGGTTCTAATGTTTAGAAAAAATAATTATAATAGGATACTAAACAGCAATTTTATAATAAAACATCTGAATTTAGGTAATTAATTATTTAATATTAATAGTTTAGACAATAGCTCTTCACATAATGCCATTAATCACAATAATAATAGTGCTCATCAAAATAGTGATATTATCTAAAAACTTGTTGAACAATTTAAGGGAAACTCTGCTTTAGCTTAAAGAATTTCAAGTTATTCGAAAAAAAATTGAATTAATATTTACTCATTTTATAAACCAAAATACATTTATGAGAATTACAAATACATCAAATTTCAAAGTTAAATCTCATCTTTAACAAACCAATTTTTAATCTGTGTATAACACAGTAATAGAAAAATTAATGGTAGTAATCCTTGTTATGTTGACTAATATATTATTTATATATTATTCTATTTTAAATAAATCAATCAATTTTTTACTAGATGAATAAAGTAGAGCGTTTTAAATTTCAATGCTAAATTTTGCATCTTCATAATATATATAATGAAATTTACAATTCAAATTCTATTGATTATCATTTTTTTTCCTTGAAATCTGTTTTAATAGCAAAATAATCCCATTTTCTTGTCAAAAAACTTAAAATATTAATAAGAATACTGGCGTTTTCTAGAATGTTTCAAATGCTTTAGTAAATTGACAAATGTATAATTATTTTGATTTTACCAATCGTCATTTTTTTACTCATAAATCTAGTTTAACTTTTGAATTTGTTTATAATGAAATTCTATAATTGTCACACTTGTGCATATATACTTTTTTTTAACTTATTTTTAACGAAATCAATGTATAAAATATAATTGATAAATATGGATCTCTTCTTCCAGCATGAAAGTTATATTCATAATATATTATAAATTGACAAATAAGGCCAGCTATGAGTATTCACTTTATTCAATATTAATAACAAAAAAATTTATCATAAATGATAAAAATCTAAATTATGCCTCAAGATATTCCAAACATTCCCTCTACTAAAATTCAATTTAATAAATCAAAGAGTTTCTTCGAATAAGCAAAAAAATTTGTGATTGGTATTTGTTTAATATATTCTTTAGATTAAGATGATAAAATTGATTAAAATAACCTGGTTTTTTATTATAGTGAAAAGTAACGGGTGATATATGAAAAGGATACTGTAAATAGGTAAAATAAACATATTTTCATTATAGTATTATTGGCAATGATGATAAACCTGAAATAGAATTATATTTATTTAAGAATATCTTAAATAATTTACCCAATATTAATAAATAAAATATTTAGGATATCAACAATTAATCCACAACAAGAGAGTTAGATGCTATAGTAAAGGAATATGAAGAAAACATAAAACTATTAAATAAGAGATGCAACAAGCTAATGTAAGAAAGTGATGCTGTTATTGAAGAAAGAAACGACTATAGAGAGAAATATGAAAAATTAGAAAAAAGTTTAAGGAATTATTAAAATTAGGAGAAAAATAAAACATCTGATAATAACTAGACAAATGTAGAAAATCCAGAAATTTATAGATTGAAAATAGAATTGGAGACATAAAATAATGAATACAGCAACCTTTAATAATAATATTAAACAAATTAAATTTAATTAGAAAAGACAAGATAATAATTGATTTCATATAAACAAGATAAAGAGAAATTAGATTAAAAGTATTTAAATCTTTAAAGCGAAAATGAAAATATTAAAAAATTGAAAGATTAATAGGATACAAAAATTAAAAGGTTATAAGGAGAAATAGAAGATTTATAAAAATCTATTAATTAATATAAGGAAACTCTATAATAAAATGAACAAGTAAAAAAAGATTTTTCGACCACAAAATAAAAACTAGATAATCAAATAATTGAGAATAAAACAAAAGATTTGATGATATAAGAGAGAAATAAGAAAATCTCATAATTAGAGGAAAAGGAAAAAAATCTTGATTCAGAGATCAAAAATTAAAAAAAAGAATTCTAAGAATATTAATAACATAATTAGGAATTGAAAAAAAATTCTGAGATTCTAAAATAAAAGCTAGATTAATAAAATAATAGATTTGAATTCTTAAAGTATTTTAGAGAAAATAATCCTTTTAAATAATTAAATGATAATATAATCACTCCTATCGATTAAATGTTTTAGGCTAAAACTAATCCATATGAGTTTACAGAATAAAAAAATGTTAATACAAATTCTTGTGATTCTTAAGTTATTGCTCTTACCATTAAATCTAAAGAAGGTATGTTAAAATGGTTGCAATTTAAGTCTAATGCAACATTTGACACATTTCTCTAAAAGGAACCTGCTAAGACTTGGAAAATCTTAAAATCTATTAATAATGTATTGATAAAATTTATTAATTCAGGTTGGATAAGGATCTAAATCGAAATGCTTTCTAATGCAAGTATAAAGTGAAAATGAAAGAGTTTAAACTTTTTAAAGCTAAGTTTTTGCTCTAAAAATGATTGAAGGTCACGAAGAAATAAAAATAGAAAAATATGCTTTATTTTTGAGTTTTTAAATATTTGTAGCTCAAGTATTGGCTGAAAATTTTTAGGAATAAATAAAAAAACTTTTACCTAAATTTAAATTCAGATTTTAGTTTCCACAAATATTCATGATTGGTGATAGTAAGTTATAAATGATATATATTAGATTTCTACATTGGATAACGATTATTGAATAGATCATATGTTAGCTTCCAATAAAATTTAAATGAATCAGAAATAAAATTGATAAATGCATTTTCATAATTTACATATTAATTTACTTAAGGAGCATTAATTGTTACAAATATGAAGGGAGGATAAATGAATGGAAATGAAATTGTTTTCTATGAACCTATAATCTATACTCCTGAAGGAATTTTCAGTCCTGAAGACTATGGTTAAACAGCATTTGATTTTGTTCACTTATCATTGAATAAAGAGAAGCCTCATTTAAATGGGTAGGAATTTTTAAAAAATTTAAATTATGATTTTTGATCAAAATCATCATATAAAAGCATTTATAAATTTAAATTTATTATTGAATAATCCAATAATTTTAATTAAAGGAATTCTCAAAGATAGCATCTCTTTCTGATAATATGGAAATGAATTAAATGGTATTAATATCAAACATTAAGAGAATTTATTAAAATTTTATTAATTTCCAATTAACAACTAAATTCTCTATATAATTGTTAGATTTTATACCTGAGCAGTTTGAAAATGGATTATTTTATTGTTCCTATTTCCAAAATGGAAGAATTTTAATTTGATTTATTTGAGAAGATGTTAATGAAGAAAAGGATTAATTTGAAACTAAATTTTCGAAGATGAATTGAAAATCTAATACAAAAATTCAGGTTTCTTTTGTTTTATATAAACAATTAAAAAAGGATAAATAAAAATTTTATAAATTTTTATTAAAATATAAAAAAAGAATAAATTACTTCAATTTTTTGAAAAAAGTACCTGTAAAAATTTATTTATAACATTTCGATTTAATTTCTACATTTTTTATATTAAATCTAACAATAATTAAATTAAGATATAAATAATTAACTAATTAATCTTAAAATTGATAAATTAAAGTATTTAGACTAGTTTTAAAGTCTTAAATAATTAATTAATATTAAATGTTACAGTTTTAAAAAAATAAAGATTCTTAAGAATTACTTTAGTAATTTTATTGAGATAATTAAAAACCCTAAATTATTAGATAAGAATTTGAAAGTTAGTATGATATTTTTATAAATTTTGTATTAAGAATTTCAGTGTTTTTATAAAAATAAATGTCAATATAATTAAAAAATAAAAATATTTCTTAATCATGAAATTTAAATTTACCATAATTTATTTGTTTTTCTTATTTAAAAGAATGCTACTAAGTATTAAAATTAAATAAAGTAGTTTATAGATGAGGTTTTTAGTATGAGAATTTGAGTATTATTGTTAGAATTATATAGTTGAATTACTATCACAAATTAATTTATATTGTTATTTTTTGAAGAATAAGGTATGACTTAACAACAAATATAATGATTAGAATGAAAAGAAGAGGAAATAATTAAGTAATTGAATAAGATTTTGATAAAAAATTGCAAAGTCGAAAGTATTGGAAAGAAGAGGAAGATAATAAATTGTAGGCAGCAGTTTATAAACATGGTTCAAACTGGAAGTTGATAGCTGAGTTTGTTTAAGGTAGAAATGCATCTTAATGTGCATAAAGATGGAAGAGAATAAAGCCAAAGGAAGTAAAAAGATTTAAATAAGGTTTAGAATGAAAGAAATCGAAAATGGACAGAGGAAGAAGATAAAGAAGTATTAAGACTTATAAAAATATATTAATTTAACTGGAAATAAATAGCTAATGAGATATAAAATAGAACAGGTAGATAAATACGAGAGAGATATGTAAATCATTTGGATTCAAATATTATAAGAACACCTTGGAATAAATAGGAAGATAAAAAGATTTGGGAAATGTTTTAGAAAATGGGTACTAGATGGTCAGATATGTCAAAGAAGATGCCAGGAAGACCTGTATAAATTTGTATAAATTTAGGAAAACATGATCAAAAATAGGTTTTATTCATTTATCAGAAAATAATATGGAAAAATATAAAATCCTTATTATATTGTACCTAAGAAAGTGAGAATATTGGAAGAGGAATGTTTAAAACAGAGTTAAGGGATGAAAAAAATAAGAAAATTTAAGAAGATTTAATAATCATTTAAGATTGAAGAAGAAATAAGAGAGAAGGAAATAAGAAACAATAAAGAGAAAAACTAATAAAAGTAATAAGCAGAATAACAATGTTAATAAATATAAATTACTTAGTTTTAAAGTCAATATTCTTAACAATAGTAATAATAAATTTAATATTGTTAATAATAATTTCCTTCTTTGTAACACTCTTAGATATAGTAATCTCAATTTGGATAAATAATAGATCCATTTTAATTTTTTTAGGATTCTATAAGATCAGATTCATATAAAGTAAATTAATATTCTGAAGCTTTAAAATAATACTAGGATTTTCAAAATTGGTTGAAAGAATCATTGAAATCTTAATCTGATCCTGAATTAAATAGAATGTATAAATTTGAGACTCCTCCAATAATGAGTTTTTTATATATGAATCCAAGTTTAATTCATTCAATTCAGTAATAATAGAATCCAATTTAAATGAAAGAAGAAGAGAATTAAAAATTATTTGGTGGTTTGGAAACATCTTTACCTGTTTAAATAAGACCTGATATATTTGAAGAAATGAAAAAAACAAATGTTGAACAACATTAAGAATAGTTTTTTTAAAGTCATCAATAAAAGTAATGATGTAGTAAAAATATTGATTGTTATAATTTGAATGTGTCAATATGGATCAAATTCCAACTTTAGATTTGACATATTATTCAAAGCTTGGTTAGGTTAATAATCCAAGAGCTTGTTTACTGATATCAATTTCTTTGTTATATTCTGTAACAGTTCGATTATAAAGATCAGTTTCAGCAGCATAGTTATCATTTTCAGCTTATAATTATGCTTAGAGTGTAGCTCTATCATCTTTTCTTTATCCAACATATACTATAGTTTCTCCAAGTTTTTCTAATATATTTATATCAAATATTACATTCATTAGCAGCAAGTTCTGAATTCTTAATAAGAACAGCTCTTTAGAATTCAGCAAATTCTTTTTCTAATTGTGTAACTCTTTCACCAAATTTGGTTTCAGCTGCACTCTCATCTGCTGTTTCTTAATTTAATGTATCAACAAATTAAACACGTAATTCATTGAAAATCTTCACCAATTATTAAAGTGATCCTTAATCAGCAAAGTTTTATTCTGTTGCTAATTCAAGTAAAGCTCTTATAATAGGAGCAAATGAAGAATGATTTTAGAATGAAGTTTAGATTCTTCCTAAATTAGTTTAAACTCTCTTAAATTAAACAAGAGATGGATTTGTTATTTAAGATAACAATCCTAATGATTCATCAACAGCACCTATAGCTTCATTTATTTCAGCTATATTTGATAAGAATTATTCATGTTATTTCTTTCTATTCAAAGTTTCTGAATCAAGAATTCTTCTGTTTTCCTCAATGTTGGTTTTCAATTGAGCAAGAGCATCTTAGAATCTTTATTTTTAGGGAATCAATACATTATCAATGAAATCTTCTCCATTGAAAATATCTAATTATTTTAAATAAACAATTACCTCTATCAGCATCTTAAATTTCTTATTCATATCTTGTTACATCTCTATTATGTTCATCTGTTCTTCTAGAATAGGCATGATGGATATCATCTAATTCCTCCTCTAATTATTCAATCAATTAATTTATAGCTTCAACCAATTCTGTCAAAGCTCCTCCACTTCCTAATTCTACTTCTGCAAACTCAACTATGAATGAAGCCCATTTAGATTCTCTTAATTTAGCCAAAACTTCTTCTGAATGTCTCTCCATATTAAGTTCTACACTCAATACTCCTAATATCAGGCAAATTAATATTCCTGTTCTCATTTATTTTAAATAATAAAAACGACTATTCTAATTTATTAATTTATTTTTATTCACTTTTCATATACATTATTTATATAATATTTTATTATATATATATAATACAATTATTAGAATTTATTTTATTCTTTATCTACTCTTCCATACTTATTACTATTTTTTAAACATTTTCTCAAATTATTTTTTAACATCATATTTTCTATATTAAATTGATTATTAAATAAATAGTTGATTAAATATATAATTAATTCAATATTTACAATTTATCTCCCTTTTTTATATACTATTTATTTTTAATTAATTTTCTCTTTTCTTTTTCTTCATTTATTTCTATTACAATTTTTATATGATTGATCAATTTTACGCTGATTCAATACAACAATAATTCGGAAACAAATATATGAAACCTCTATTAATAGGTGAAGGAGCATTTTCAAAGGTTTTTAAATGTTAAAATGAATTAGGAGAATTTGTTGCTATAAAGGTTTATTTAATCTATATTTAGAGGTTGTTAATTTATTAGGCATATAACCATTTATTGTTTCTAGTTTAAAAAATGAAATTCAATTATTAAATTAAATCAAAAATGATAATGTTATTAGATTGTATGAAAGTTAAGAATCACAATCTGCATTATTTTTAGTATTGGAAGTTAACTATATTTTATAAATTTTAGTATTGTGAAATGGATGTTAAACATATGATGATCAATTATTTTGATAATAAATTACCAGAAGATTTAGTAATTAATATTCTTAGATAAATGGTAAATGGGCTCAATTATTTACACTAAAAAAATATTCTTCATAGAGATTTGAAGTTAGAAAATATAGGTGTTATGATAAAAAAAGAAGATTTCTATCAACATAAAAAGTTAAATAATATTCATTTTTAAAGTATTTTTTAAAATGGATCTTACAAATTACTTGATTTAGGATTATCTAAAAAATTCCTGAATTAAAAAAATACAAAAACCCTTGCAGGAACTTTATTAAATATGGGTATTTTATAATTGTTTAATATTAGCACCTGAAATTTTATAAAGAAAATCCTATTCATTTGAAGCAGATATTTACAGTTTGGGAGTTTGTTTATATTAAATGATAACAGGTGAATATCCATTTGATAATAGCTTAAATAGAAAAAAACAAATTAAATTGATATAAAAATAAAATGCCAAATTCTAAGAAATCCAAAATTCAAATCTTAGAGATATTATATAAAAAATGCTGAATTTTAAAGTTGAAGATAGATTAACATTTGAGTAATTATATTAATCCCCATTACTTTAGAGTACTATAGAAAATGTCTAATCATAATTCTAAAATTCACTAATATAGAATACTGAATTTTCAATACTTGATGATGTTAAGTCAATTTAATCAGATGTAAGCATAATATGTCCAAACACAAGCATGGTAGAAACAGATGTAAGTTTTATTCAACCAAATTATATGTAAAATTAATCTAATTATGAAAAAATATCTGATAATTAAGATATTTCCTCTGAAATTAATTCGAATTAATCTTTTGAAGAGATTTAAAAAAATTCTTTCTATAAATCTTTGATTGACAAACCAAAATTAATATTCTACAAAGATTGTAAATTTAACTAGTTAATTAAAAGATTTAATAGTCTTTATGATTAATTTGCATTAGTTATAAAACTTTGTGAAAATTTTTTGGATTTAATATCAAGTATTCCACAAAAGTTAAAGTATTAAAATTTTGAAGTTTAATTTTAAAAGTATTTAGAATATTTCTCTGATTTGCTTGAAATTATGATAAAACATTGAAATTTTAAATTTCTTAATATATAGAAGCTTATCCAGATAAAAAAGAGCTTTAAAATTTCAATCATAAATTTTTGAATTCAGTAGAATCATATTATTAGAATATAGTCAATATTCCAATAATAAAAAAAGAAATTTGTATAGTTACAAAATAATTTTAAAATATTTTCTCTATTGAAAATATTACAGAATTAAATAAGTCTTAAAACTAGTTATAGATAAATTCAAAAATTTATGATTAAATCTCAAATATTTAAAATATCTTAACCTAGATTGATTATGAAGATGTGAGAATTAAGAAATTTAATTGCAAAATATATTCAACACTTAAAAATTTGGAATAGTTGAGTAAATAATATAGTAATGAATAAATTCCTTCAGATAATTTAATTTATAATTAAAATTAAGATTCTTTAGAAAATTCTGATCTAATAAGCTTATAATAATTTGAAATATTAGATAAATTTGAATTGAAATTTACTTAAATAGATTATGTGATATGATAATTCCATTTATTTTCAATTAAAGTAATCAATTATTAAAATAATGTTTTTTACATTAGAAGTAATGATCCTCATATATAAAAATCCTAATTTATTAAAACTTAATATTTTATTTGAGCTATGACTTAGTTCATTAGTTTTAATTAAATTATATTTCTATTTTTTAAATATTGTTTTCATTAATCTTTGCAGTCTAATAGAAAATAAAAAGACTTCAATTAACTTTTTGATTTAAAAAATAGTCTAACTTAATTTTTTGTTATTAGTTTTGTATATGATAATTATAATGATAAAATATTAATCTAAATCAAGATGTTGTACATCCTGGAATATGTAATTTATATCCATCTTCGCATTTTTATCCACTAAATCCAGTTGAGCAACGTTCCTAAAATTATTAATAACTTTACCAATGTACAACATCCTTATGAAACCCATCCACAAACTTCACCTTTATTATCAGCACATTTCTTTCTGCATGTTGGTCCCCAAACATCGTGTCTTTTTACTCTCTTAAATGCAGATTCTTAGATGCCACTATTAAAAGCAATAAATGCAACGATACAAGCCAAGGCTATTGCGATATATAATAATTTTTTCATTAATATATTAATGTTTTAAAATCATAAATATTTAAATTTTTTAAAGATTAAATTCATATAACCAAAGAGTATTATTATAAAGGAAATTAAGTATTTATGTAAGGAGAAACTAATTTTAGGATACTGGAATTAATCTGTAGATTAATTCAATTTATGAATTAAAAATAAAATAATTAAAAATAATTAAAAATAATTATCATAAAGTGAAGTATCTATATAAAATATAAAATATAAAAGAATTTCATAAGGTGAAGTAATTAATTTCCACAGACTCTGGGGTTTACACTGATGTCCAAATATCATCAATTAATTAAACTACTCCTTCTTATTCTTCAATAATCATGTTTCTTAATACAATATGATTTTCTAGAATAAAATCATTCTAATGCTGATTTAAAAGTTTCTATTGTAATGATGCCTATAAGAAATTACAATATTTAATACCCAAATAATATCTGTATTATCTGAAAGACAAATATTTTTTGTGAATTGTGGACCATATTTTGTATCCCATTATTATGCTTCTGATATTGCCTAAAATAACAAATAAAATTACAATTATCTTTGCATAGAGGTCAACTTTTTTGTTAGGGGATTATTTCAAAATATCTTTAATTGTATAACTATTTAAAAGAATAGATCCATTCTTATATGGAGTTGGAGGTGAACTTGGATTAGAGCTCATTTATTTAATAATTTAATAATAATACTTTTTTTTAAATATTAATTATTGTCAAGCATTAAAGAAACTGATAGAAAAACTGCCCTAAATTTTATTTGTATTAATTAAAATCTATATATTGAAAAAAATTATTTGTTTATTTAGTCATAAAAATTTTTTAAATAAAAAAGAGATGTGATATTATTATTATAAATATTTGTTAATAATTTGACATAATGTTTTGATAGTAATAAATAAAAAATGAATATAAAAATTTTGAAAGCATAAAATGTGGTTTAAATTCTATAAAACTAATGGAGAATGAACTTAAATTAGAATATTAATATTGATTTAAGTAAATTCATAAATAAATAATAATTTTAATTTTAAATATAAAGTCGACATTTTCAATGAGTAATGCATTTAAGTCAGCTGGAAATACACTTGCAAAATAAAATGATTTAGGATAGACAGGTTAAAGTTTTGCAGGATCTTAAAATCCTGCATCATTGAAAGGTAAATTAATGAGTTTGGAGGTAATGAAACTGATATAATATATTCTTACAGGAAACAATTAAAGGCATCCAAGATGAGATGAATTTCCATAAGAAAGAAGTTTAAATATTGAAATCTGAGAAGGATACTCTTGAATCAGTTTTGAGCATGAAAACTTAAGATGTTAAAAAAACATTAACGAATGAACTTATGAGAATTGAAGAAGAAATGAAAAGGTAAACATTATTTACTATTTTTAGGCATTTTGCTCATTAGAAAGCTGAAAATTCTAGATTATAATAGTAAATTACTGCTCTTAAAGGAGAGAAAACAGCCTTATAATAACAATTACTTGGATTGTAAAGAAGAATTGCAGAACTTGAGCTCTAAGTAGGATAGGAATAAGCATGATATAATATTAATTATACAATCATTATTAGTATACATTTTTAATACTAAATTAACATAATCATTTACAATTTAAACTAACAGCTTTTATATACTCTCTAAATTATGGTTAACTTAACAATCTTATAATATAGATAAATAATTTCAAAATCTAAAATGTTTAGTCTCTCTCCCTTTCATTTCTACCATTTATTAATCTTAATATCATTTGTATCATTTAATCTTCAAACCAAAGATTTTTTTAAAGAATAAAATAAAGTTATATCTTAATCTAATTAATTTTTAGTAATTTAAATATATTGAGGTACTTCATTTATTTTTAAATTGATTTCCATCTATATTATTATATTTAATCCTTTATAATTTTAAATTCTTGTTCATCATTTTGGTTTTTCTGATGAATCTTTATTCAATAATTATTCTCAACATTTTTATTCTTCTTACAGCTTTCAAATTCTACTTAGCCTCATTAATTATTAATCAGTGCACCAAAAATTCATTAGATAGCTCACTTTAATATTTTTTATTTATTTATATCTATTCATATTTAATATTGTTAATGAGTATTAGGTTAGCCTTATAATTAATATGAATATGTAAGTTCTCTTTTTGAAATTAGTCTAAATATTTTAAGTTAAGTTAAATTGACTTTTTTGTTGTAGGATAGATTTATTTTAATGAGAGAGATATCTAGTTAAAATTTGAAAATAATAATTATGTGTATAATTATTTGATAATTGATAGTATGAGTAAATTATTTATGAAAATAAATTTATACATATATGATTAACAATAAAATATACATATATATAAAATAATTTATTTATAATAACATCTCCTTGAATGATAAAAAATACTCAAACACCTCTCAATAAGGAAGAATAAAAAAGACTGAATCAAATAGTTTAATAATTGATTGATTCTAATGATAGTGTAGAGTTTCGTTAACCCGTAGATTATAAGCGATTAAATTTACCTGATTATATCTAAATAGTTAAGAGACCAATGGATTTAGGAACATTACAATATAAATTGAACAACAATGTATATAAGACAGTGGAGGAGTGTTTAGATGAAATATAATTGATTTGGGATAATTGTAAATTGTATAATGGATCTACTAGTGTAAGTATTTAAGTTAAGATTAATAGTGGATTACTAAAATAGCAGAGAAATTAGAAAGATTGTTTAAAAAGAATGTGAAAAATTATTTGCCTTTAGTAAACTTACCTTAAGTTGTACCAAAAACAAAAGAAACACCATCTGATGTATATTAAGAAGAACCTTAAGAATAAGTGACTTATAATGATAAAGTGGAGTTTTCAAATAATTTGAAATAGTTGGCACCAGAATAAATAGGATTAATTGTTCATATGATATAAAATACATCTCCTAATGCTTTTATAGAAATAGAGCGGGAAAAATATTAAATTATTGTTGATAATATAGAATTCGAAGCATTTACAAAATGTTAAAAATAGATATCTGCATGGATAACAGGTGATGATATAAATAAAAAGGTGAAGATATGAAATATGAATATTATTTATATCATTTATTGAGTGAATCTAAAAACCTATATAAATATTTTTGTAATTCTGATAAATGGATATCATCGGAGATTGTACGTGAAAACTATTTTGTATTCCATTAAAATTCTTCAGTTGTGACATTTTCAGAAGGACATTATGATTTATTAAGTTCTTAAACAATTTGCTTTTCTACTAAAATCACTTAACTAAAAAATAATAAATTGTTATAAGTATTTACCTTTCATCTTCCTTATATAAAGATGAAATTTTGTCAAATTGGGGAGTGTTTTTAAATTCTCTTAATTTAATAAGATTATCTACATTTAATTTTAATTGTGATTAAATGTATCTAATCATGAAGAGTACCATTAAGGGAACATGAACATTATCATTGACTTCAAGTAGTTTGATAATTGCTTTGATTTGTTCATGTAATTATTTTCTATGTTATAAAATAATCTTAATATTATTATGGAGCCAGCTTTCAGAAGATTCAGAAATTTTTTAAGAGAAATGCTGACTGTTTTTCTTAAGAAAGACTTATTAATAAGGGGAGGAGTTTTATCTAATTGCTAATATCAAATTATATTACACTTACGAGATACACCTCTTTTATTACTATTGTTTAAAGGGGAGACACTCTTCTGGTTTTTAGGAATGCGTAGTTGAAATAATTCTTACCAAGATATTCTTTATCTAGGATCAACTGTAAGCATCCTTCTCAATAAACGTTCAATTCCTTCAGATATTTAATAAGGAATAGTTAACTAATATAATTAAAAATAATTACTTATTAGTTTTATATTTGATACATTAATCTAGGTATAGTAACATCTTCATAAGGACATCTTCCAAAGAGCATTTCAAAAAGACAAACTCCTAAAGACCAAATATCAGCAGAGAAACTGTAAGGTTCACCAAGTAAGATTTCAGGTGCCATATATATTGGTGATCCTACCATTGTTTAAGTGAGATCAAATGGTTCAATATTTTTACAAAAACCAAAATCTGCTATTTTAACTATATTATCATGCAATAGAATGTTTGATGGTTTCAAATCTCTATGTAGAATATTTTCTTTCTGTAGAGATTCAAAACCATTCAGCAATTAAGTAAATTTATCAATTGCATCACTTTCTCTTAGGTTCCTACTTCTTTGAATATACTCTTCAAGATTACCACCATTACAAAATTCATATACCAAATATAAATTATTCTTAGAATTAAATAATTCGATAAATTTGATTACGTTTTGATTATTAATTCTTTTCAATGTTTCTACTTCATTCATTGTGAATTAAGTTAATTTTGGTAATTATTTAAATCTAGTTAGCTTTATTACTTTAATTGCATAAAATTCTTATGTATTGTGTTTATTAGCTTTATATACCTTCCCATATTATCCTTACCCTATTTAAGTAAGTAATGTATATTTATCTATCGTTTTCATATTATATAAAATATATAAATATATATATTAATATAAATAGAAATATAAAAAAACTCAACTTACTAATTTAATAAGTTCTTAACATAAACGGGGATACTTAAAATTCTTAATTGCTTATTCAGCTTCTTTTAAAACAACTCTTTTCTCAGGACATTTTAATAAACATTCAAAAATGGCTCTTTAGACTTCTTCACTTGAATCATCCAAATGAATTAAAGTTGCTTTAACTATATATTCTAAAATTGTAGATGAATCATATTTCTATTACATTAGTGCACCTATTGCAAATGTAATTTCGATTCTTATTTAATTTTAAGAATCATCTAATCTTTCTAAAAGAGAAGGATAGAAATCTCTTATTATTTCATAATTTAAAATTTAACATTTTTATATTAAACTTGTAGCTAATTTACTTGAAGCAAATCTTAAATCAGGTGCCCAATCATCTGTCATACAAGATTTCAATGGAGCAGTCAAAGATGGAAATAATTCCAATATTTCTTCTTAACTTAACATCTCACTCAAATACAATGTTATTATTACTGCTGCTTTTCTTACTTTCACTGTTGGTTTATTAGCTTTCCAAACCATTGATTATATTAATAATTATGATATCATTACTGCACTATACATTTTGATAGTATCTTTAATTGATTAAATTTAAACTACTTTATCTAATAATAATAACACTTCCAAACGCAATTCAACTTCTTAATCACCTCCTAAAGAATATTTCATTATCTATATTATCTATTGCATATATTTTGATATGCCATCACCACATCCTATTACTATTGCTTTGAATTTTAAGAATTCTCTTGTATTGTATTTCCATGTTTTAAACTGCTCTTAATTCGCTATTTATTCTAAAATTAAACTAATCTCATTTGCATGTAAATCAGTTACACTTGTATAACCACATTTAGTTGATAATTACTGCAACAAACATTCACAATCCTTCTTATTAAATGATCTTATTGTTAATAAAACCTAAAATAATTATCTTACATATATTGGTAATTCTTATTAAGATTAACCAATTATTCGATCCTCTAAATGATATATACATTCCATCACTTCCCAACAATCAGAATATACATTCTCTATATCTCCAATCAAATATACTAAACTCTATAAATCAAGATTATCATTTTCATGTACTATTGTTTCACTAATCAAATTTATCAAATTGCATAATGTTTTTGATTATTGTGCTTACAATTCAAATCGAGATTAATTTATCAATGTTGGTAAGTAATAATCTATTTGTATCTTTAATCCTATCAAATAACATATTTATCTACACTATTAATTAATTATTTACTTTACCTCATTCAAATAATATTTATCGTCAATTGTGTATATCTTAGCTAATAACTTAAATATCTAAGTCAAATATTCACCAATATCCCCAATACAACAAATCATCTTTAATTATTATAATGCCTTTAATTTTTATATTTAAGTTGATTGAAATTCTGCAGCATCCTTTAAAACTATTTATATTAATTAAGGTAGATTTTTTGTTATTATATACTTTTATCCCTCAGTAATTTGTGCAAATGGTGATACTTTATTAATCAAACTTTGATTTTTTTCCATTAATTTTATTTTTACAAATACACTATTCGAACTGTTACATTTAATATATTTATATATTCTAAATTTATTTTTTTACTTGATAACTCAAAATAACATAATTATAATATATTACTTAACTCATATATTTTTGGTACTTCTTCAAAGTTTACTAAATTAATACAAAAAATAGATTACTTTAAAATTACTAATTTATAGTCATCAAAAAACCATTAAAAAATAAAAGTGATTTGAATTATTTCAATTTTGAAAGGAAATCAAATCTCACTTATTCTTTAAATAAAGAATAAAACAAAAATCAAAAAGAATTTGTCAAAGTTTTATAATATTATTATTACTAAATTTTTTTTTTAAGTTTAATTTTGATTGTTTTAAGACATAAAAAAATTTATCTCTTTGATTAGATTCATTATCATTTATCTATTTAAGAATTAATTTAAATAATAAGAGAATCATAAGTTATGATCGTTATAGAGTTTCTTATCTGAAATTAATAATAAAAACAATAATGATTATAATTTAATTGGTTTACCAAAATGAATACTTAGAAAATGAATACTTTTTTTGGAGTTGAAAAACCATACTCTTTTGATTCTTAGAAATCTCAAAGTTCATCTAATACAAATTAACAATAGTTTACCATAAATATATTTGATTAATAGCAAAATCAGACAATATAGAAAAAGGAAAATGTTATAGAAAATTTTTAATAATAGAAAAAGAATGATATTAATTCTGATTCGTATTCTAATAGTAGTAGTGAAGCAGGGTTATTGTAAACAAAAAAGCTTTAGAAAATATTGGAAGAAAATTATGATTATGAAGTACAATCAGTAAACTTGAGTGGTATATGATAGTCATAAATATTAGAAAATACGATGTAAAAATATCAAAAATAAAAAATCAATAGAATACAAAATGCAAACAAAAAATATTCATTAGAAATTAAAAATAGCTAATTGAACAATTCTTAATTATATACACAACAAGATAAAAGTAGAAATTCAAATAGTTAAGACAGTTTTGAACCTAATATTTAAATTTCAAGAAGACACACAGATAATCAAGAATAATTGGCAAGATAAATTAATTATTTTAAACCTCAAAAGTTTAAATAGATAAATTAATTAAAATCTAATTTTAATTTAGAAATAGGAGTTCAAGCAGATTCTGATAATCTAAATAAATTGTTTAGTAAAACCTTAAATGAATAATCATCAGAGATATCATCAAAGAATTATTATAAAAATGAGAATAAAAATTTATTAAAATTATTAGATAAAAATACGAATTAAAAATTTTCATAACAGCAAAGTCAAGAAGATAATAATGAACTAAATTCTGATAAATAAGTGTAAATTCAACTTAATTTAGAATAGAATGATATTCCTCTTTCCAATCATTTGTCAAAACTTTAAGCAAATAATATTGCTTAAAAGAATAGAATGAGTTAGTTTTCTTAGAAAACAGTTCCAAATTTATTATCATAATTTTCTTAATAAACTTAATATTAAAACATTAAATAGGGTACTGTATTAAATACATGCAAATCACTTAGTGGAGATATCTTTACATTAAGACCTGGAAATAAAGTAATTGTTTTAAAGATTGATTAAGACAAAAAATTAATATAATGTGGATATGAAAATATGTTGGGATTATTTTATCTAAGAGATATTGCAATAAAAGATGGTATGATTTATGATAAATTTGGCAGAGTCACAGTAAAATTGTAGGTTTCAAATAAAATCAAGAACTTAATCTTCGTTTGAAATCAAATATAAAGAATTACTAAATGACAAATATAATGCGAAAAGTAAATCTCCTATAAATCGATTATTTTAAAGATAGTAATAAACCCCAACTAAAAAACCTTTTATGAGGTTTTGAATGTAATCTATATTTTTGCTAAACTTAATTATATTACTTATAAATAATTAATATAAATGAGTGATAACCAATAAGTTCCGTTTGGAAGTGGAATGTTTTAAGGACAAGCAAAATTTGTTGATTATGCTCATATGAATTAGTAAGATGTGTAAATGAACACTTTAGATGAACCAGTGTTGGATACTTTAGTAAAATTCATTACAATATAAAGTTGAGAGATATTAATATGATACTTTATAAATTATCATATGTAATAATTCCAAGAATGAAGGAGACTTAAGGAAGAAAACTAAGAAACTGTAATACAATAAATTAAATTTGAATTAGGGGATTTATGGGGACCATTACTCTTATCTTTGTTGCTAGCTATGTAAACTATATAGATTAATTATATAATTAGGACTTTAGGTATTAATTCTAATCAATCATGTATTGCTTAAATAAATTCAATTTTTTAGCTGATGCCATTTTTGGTACAATTTTTATTATCATGTGGGGAGGATCTGCTGTGATAACGTATTTATATTTTTAATTTAAAAATAAGGGTCAATGCTAAATTATTAGGAGGATAAGTATCATTCTTTTAAAGTGTTTGTGTACTTGGATATTGTGTATTTCCAATAAATGTAGCTGCTGTTTTAATAACTTTTCTTTAATCATATTTGGGATTTTTCTTGAGATTGATAATAGTAGGAGTTGCATTTCTTTGGTCAACATTCTGTGAATTTATTTAAACTATTGATAGCATCACTGTCCTTTATGAGTAGTATGATGAATGAAGAGAAAAAAGTCATCTCAGTGTATCCAATTTTTTTATTTTATCTGTTTCTGTCATGGTTTTGCATTTTCATTTGATTTATATATAGTATTATATCATAATTTGAGATTGATTTTAAGATAATAAAATATAAACTAAGTTCATTTTATCAATGGATTTTAATTTTAAATCTTTCTAATTAATTTACAATAGAGGGTTGTTTTAATTTAATAATATCTTAATTATCTTTAATGAATAATCTCAATTATTTTTGTCTTAAAATGATATTAAATGATAATTTAAGAGGAAATTCATCAAATAAATTTGCTCCATTGAATTTAAGTAATAAGGTTATAATAAGTTCACTTAATATTTTGAATTTATTTGGTCTGATATAATAAATCATTTATCCACAACGTTTAATGAATATAATAATCATTTATAGATTAGATTCATATCCTTTTTAAAGATAAACTTTAATGATTTCTAAGAGCGACTCATCAAGATCATCTCTAGTTATAATTTCCTCACTTAATGTGAATAATATGGATAATATTTAAGATATTTGTAATTATTACTAAACTGAAGAAATCACCAAATGTTTGATCAATTATGCTATACACTATAAACCTCTTAAATCAATAGTTTCTATTGAACAAATATCCTTTGCTAATTATAAAATATTTTAATTTTTTGCCAATATTTTTTCTTAAATTTGCTAAATCAAATCATCAAATGTTCCTAATTCACTCAATTAATATTCGCTTTGTTCTTCTTATTGTTGAATCACTTAAGGATTCTTGCTAGTAGTTATTTTTATTATAACTGGTTCCTTAACATTTTATTGCTTTGAAACTACTTTTGCTGAAAAGCGTTAAACTCCATAATTGTTTTTAAATTTTGTTTATTCAATCATTCGAGGTTTATTAATTGATTAACGAATCATTATTTCAGGAGTAATTGGCTATTGAATTTATCCTTAAAATCTAATAGCTTCTGAAAATGTAGTAGTTTTATTCATTAACTGAGGAAATTAAAATATTTGAGGTTTTAAACATGCTTTATTATTTTAAACTTAATTTCTAGATGGTCCTATTTATTTCTTTAATTATTCATTTCTCTTTATCATTTTTATATTTTTTATTATAATAGATCAATAAAAAACATTCACATTTAATCATTCTCTACAAGGCATATCTAATCTTTAATAATAAGCTTTTAAAGAACCCACATAAGTAAATAATATAGCTATCACTACACTTATATGCCATATTTGATGACTCTAACCACAATTATCAAACTTTCCTGGAACATGTTTTTCTGGAAATCTTATATTATAGATGTATAATCCTGAACTAAAAATTATTCATTTTTATATTTACAGATAAGCTATTGCCATAGCAATATAATAAGGACATTATGTAGCAAAACTAAATCCTTCCAAATTTACATCATCAATTGCAAAATGTATAAAGGGGATTGAACTTACTAATCCAAGACCTGCAAATAAATTACTCTTCAATGTTCTCCATTCTTCTTTATAAAAGAAATCAAATAAACATAAACTGAATAACACAACTGCAAACACTCCCTATATGCTTGCATAAATAATTGCATAATGAGGATTGCATTAAAACCCATAAAATAATGGGGCAAATGTAGATCCTGAAACCAAAAAGCAAATACCAGCATAATCCAATCTTAACAACATTCTGTTTACTTTCTCTGATAGACAATAAAATAAGTGATATATGGTACTACAACCTAAACAAATTATAGCTGAAAGGAGAAATGCTATCACAGGCCATCTTGAAATAATCCGATCAAGTTTAACTTCATCCATAGTATAACGGCCAGTTAAATGTTAAAATCCTAAATATAGATCAATCCAATCAAAATCTTTAGATTCAACTATCTCAGTTGCTTTAAGTTTGTAATCATTAATAATTTCTGATATATTATATTTCCATTATAAATTTTCCCAATCAAAAGCTTGAGCGATATTTTTTTGGATTTTTTGAAATTCTTAATCATACTAATGTGCTACTTCATTTATAAACTTATTAACATTTTAAACATTTTCTTGCAATTATTATTGAACCTTCTGAACATCTTCTTACAAAATATGCAAACCTTGCTCTAATTATCCTTAGATTTATTATTCTAAATTATAAGCTTGTGAATATATATTTTGGAGTGATTCTATATTAATTTCAATAAATACCATGAAAGGAATTTATTGCTTTTTATCGAAACAATTCATCATAATTTAACCATAAATAAAAGATTAAAGAAATGATAATTATAGCTCCAATTAAATGAGTCCAAATATTAACAAGTTCATTATGCCACATGAATAAGCTCTTCAAAACATCTTTCTTATTCTTAAAATTTATTCTATATCCCTTTATGATATATTTATCTTTAAGATGTTTTGGAGCTTTGCATATAGGACCACTAATTATTAATTAAGATTATACATCTTCATATCTTTATTATTCTTATCCTTTTGATCTTACTTATTATCATTATACTAATATTGTACTCTCTAAACTATTTCTGTACTTGATTTCATCATTTTATTTAAATAAATGGCTAAGCTTTGTAAATTATTTAATAAATTCAAACAATAAGTATTAATATTAACGATTAATTCTTATTTATTTGACAGACTATTTTAATTAATTATAACATATATAAATTTACTTAAAACAATAATATTTTACTTTCTATACATAAATTATTTATTTATTTAAGATAATTAAATAATATTTTACTAACTTTTAAATGTATTTGAAACTCAAGGATAAAATATTATCCAAGATTGATTGAAAAAATACATATCTTAATATAAAATGCTCTTTTAAGATAGAATTTTTGTTTATTGGAGTTCTGAATTAAGAAATTTTGAGGTATTTTTCTATTTTATTTATAATTAAAACATTTAAAAATGATTCAAACAATTATCAAATTCATTTTTTAAAATTCTTATATAAAATTTACCTTTTGGGTGAATGTAAAATCAAAACATCTGAAAATTATAGATCACCAGAAGGTTAATTATATTGATAATATAGAATCATAAAGCTTAACGGAATTTGACCAGAATTTGCAATAAAATGATGTAAATATATTGTTTGGAGGTTTAGACTTAAATTATTTTTACAAAATATAGAATTATTTTGAGTAGATATAATAGATATTTATTTATAACTTTTTTTTAAATAAAGTTTAAATGAAAATAATAGATCAAATTAATATTGTATTAAAAATTCATTATATTTATATACATCAAGTCCATAAACTTACTACACCCTCTTTGCTTGCTGAATAGATCCAAGGTTATGTTGGATGAAATGTAATATCTATTACAGATTCTTTCTTTTTTTATTTTAAAACTTTTAAAGGTAGAATTATAGGAGCTTAACTCAAATCAGTGCTAATACGGCAATGGAATATATTAATAGTTCCTAGAATATAAATAATATAATAATACCATCATCAGAGCAAGAGGCAAATAAAGGATATGATTTATGGAATATAACACGTCTGACACCATTTTTATGATAACTCATTTTTTTAAAAGGAGTTTTACCCATATCTAAATCAAACCAACATACTTTTTAATCATTTGATCCTACAATCAAATTATCTCCATAAGGATGAATTGCAATTGTTGAATTTTATTAATTACCTGCTAATAGTTTTTTTAATAATTATTATTTGGTTAATGAATAAATAAAAATGTTTTTATTTGTCATGATATATAATTCTGGTTTTGTAGGATGAAATATAGTTTATTAAACTTCAGTGGATGCTTTCATATTTTAAAATGGAATAGATGTTGATGATTTACTAATACAATGAACTAAAATGCAATGAGATTTAACATGAGTATGAGGTTAGGTACTTACAAGATAATCAGATTTAGTATGAAATTAAACATATAATGGATCATAAGGCATTTTAACATCAAGTAATTATTAAAATACATTATCATCTAATTCGAAATTCCAATCAAAAACATTATTTGAATTTTTAGGAATTTATTTATTTGCATTTTAACCATCCTCTATATTTGGATGTTATCGTTTATCAATATACGAATTTAAAATAATAAATCCATTTGATTATAAAATACAAATTAATCCAGATTAACTAAAATCTAGACCTAAAAACTATTTATTAGCAATCTACCATTTAGTATATAGACACTTAGATGTTTTAGTATCAAAAAATGCAATAGCAAATTCATAACATACTCCTAAAATTTAACCATCTTAAGATATTGATATTTATTTCACTTATCCAGATTTAGTTGTATCAATTTAACCAAATTCAAAATTTAATTTAGTTGGAAATGGTTTTAATTCTTCAGGTTTAGGAATTTCAGGTAAAAAATCAGTTGATTTCATCATTAATTTCTTTCTTCTAATTCTTGGAGCCAAATATAAATCTAAACATCGATTAAATAAATCTTTTGTTAATTATTCAGATGAAGGAACATTTCTTAAATGTTTAAACTTTTATGGTATAAATGGTATTTCTCGATCTTCTGGGTCAGTTTATAACCATTATTATTTTTCTTATTCATTAAATAAATACTCTTCTGGAGGATTATAACTACTAACATTTGTAGGTAATTAAGCTTTAGATGCTGGTATTCTAGCTGGTAAATATTTATTCAACACTTAATCTTCTGCAACATTTTCCCATATATCAAACATCTTTTCAACCTTCTATGGTGGATTTAATACAATTCTTCCTAATTTTATACCTTAAACAAGTTTATTAATTTTAATTCTTTCCCATTTTGAAGGTAAAAATCTACGTTTTGGATTGTAAGATGATAAGAGATCAAATTAATTAAAATCTTCATGTTCAAAATAATACTATAAATATTTATTTATTTTTTTACATCATCTGCTAATTTGATTGCTGTTTTCCCTTTTCTAATTCTATCTAAAACTTATAATTGCTTATCATTCAAAACTACATCTTAATTGTTTAATTCATCTCTTACTACTCTCCACCAATCTTTATTTTCTGTTTTATTAATAAATTCATCAATTGTATCTTGAAATTATTTCTTTTTCTAAATTTTGTTTAAATTTTCATCATAACCAATAAAATCTTTATCCTTGTATTTCTTTGTTTATAATCTTCCAATTTTAGATAATACCTATATTAATTTATTAATAATACTTTTTCATCTTCACTATCATCAGATTCTTAATAATATTGATCATGAATGTTCTTAGGTTATAATGATAAGTCTTTTTTAATTGATTTCTTATTTCTAATAGCTCTTATATTTATTGTATTGTTTTAATTCATTAATTATAAATTTAATTTAAGAACAAATTATATTTAATTTATCTCATTTAGGTCCACCATTAATAAAATTATAATGATCATTTGATTTTTTGGATGCCAAATTAGTTAATACTTTGGAAGGATGAAATTCATTTTAATATACTCTTTTTTATGGACAATAATAAGGAATTTTAGAAGGAAATAAAAATTAATTGCTGTGTACAGGACTAAATCCACCTAAAGCCATATTAGATAGATCTAAAACAGCAGGTTAGATTTAATCTCTATCTACACTAAGTCTAGATAATCTTGGAATATGTGGTTATCTCACAGGTCTAATAGCAGAGCGAAAGTTAGGTTCATAATTTGGTGGATTTTAATTAAGAATAGTATTATTTGTTATTATTTCTTTTGGAGGTTCAATTTAAGTTTAAAGAGGTTTCAATTTTATTTAGTATTTAGTTGTGTTATTGTTATTAATAGTACTATTATTAATAATTTTAGTAGGGCTAGGTATTTAGTAATTTGTAGACTTTTCTTTAATTCCTTATTGAGAATTATTAACACTTTCATTTTTTTAGATGTTTATTTTTGTTTAAGTTTTTAGAGGTGATTTCTTTTTTTTCTTTGGTGATTTTGTAATTGGATTTATTTGCAATGATAAATTATGATCTGATTTTTCAAATCCATTAGTATCATTCTATAATTCATTATCTTGAGGAAGCATATCAATTTAAGATTCATTCAATTCTAATTTCACTTCTTCATTTTCAAGATCCTTAATCTCTTCTTCAATATTTTTTGAACTATTAGAAGGCATTCTTGCTCGAATAATGAATTGCAGTTTAGCTTACACCGTTGACAATTAATGGCTTTATGGTTATTATTTGATTTATTTTTCACTCTCAACCTTTTAGGCTATTAGTATTTTATTTCAATTTACTTTATAACACTAATCTTCTCTATTATTCTGTTAAGGTTTTCTAATAATCTTCGAATAATTCATCATAAAACTCTTTGTTTATTGTTAACTTTCCTTCCTTTTTATTTTTATCCTCCTTTAATTTACACTTCTATTCAGAAAATTAATTATATATTTCTCTATTTTCTAATTTCTTCATATAGCCAAATTTAGATAAGCACATTACTGATTTTATTAAATTCAGAAGTTTTTACTATTAAATCCAGGTATTAAAGATTTCTTCCATCGTTTAAGGAACTTCAACATCGCTTTGTTCATTCAACCATGGATGTAACAACCCTTAATCTGCTCTATATCTTTTGGTTTAGTCTAACTCAGTTAATTTTTTAAATAAACTGTATTACAATCTAAAATTCTTATATCATTTTAGATTGTTACTAAGTTAAACTGCTTTGATCATGCATTAATTTAGTTTTCTCTAAAATTTATTCTAGACTGTCTCCCTATTTATAATATGGATGTTATCCTTTATTAAGTAACATGAACATAATTACACCAACTCCCCAAATATCTACATTCTATTTATAATATAAATAAATACCTTGCTATATATCTTATTCATTAATAGTTCTGGTGCCATAAAAATAAGTGTACCGCATTGCTTAGTCATTAATTAATTTTAAACAGAACTCAATCCAAAATCACTTAATTTGACACAACTTAAATCTTCATTAACTAAGATATTTTCTGGTTTTAAATCTCTGTGAACAACATTATTTTTATGCATATATGATAATGCTAATAAAATGTTCCTAATAATGGTTTTACATTATTCTTCTGTAAACCATTAATTATTTTTATGCAATTTCTCCATTAAATCTTCTAAAGATCCTAAGATTTAAAAGAATAGGATACCTCCTTCTATAAGTTCCATAATAATTAAAATTCTAGTATCAGTTTCTTTGACATCTATAAACTTTACAATATTCTAATGTCTTAAACTAGCTAAGATAGTTGATTCTTATTTCAATTAATCATATCTGTTGACTAATTTCTTTTTTATAATCTATTTATTATAGTTTGGTACAATGTACTTTAATAGCAACTTCCTATTATGTCGTCAAGTTAACTGCTTTAACAACAACACCAAAAGCCCCTTATCCAATAGTTGTTATATACTAAAAATAGTCACTAAATTTTCTCATTTAATCTCCTTCGATTAACTTATTGAATTGATTATCCATTTGTTTAATATTATTATATTAATTTCATATGATGCTATTAACATTAATAATTATCAACTTTTTAAGATACTTTAGATATTATCAATCTTTTTATAAATATATCTTAATTCTGTCTATCCTATATCTATATTTTATAAATTAGATCAAATTTTACATTCAAAGAAAGTATTTAGATCAATTATATAATATTCAATTTAATAATGGGATCAGTTTGTGCAAAGAAAAAAGAAACAAGAATTAATTAAGTAATTTAAGAATAGTCTGCTTCATTTTGTATACCTGATTAATAATCCTCTTTGTTACTCTAAGATAAAAAGACTCAGCCTTAAACATTAATTAAGGTAAAGATCCCTAAAGTAATTAATATTATTAGTTCTTTCTTAGAAAAACAAAAAAGTAAGAGAAACTGTTAAAGCGATAACACTTAAAAATGAAGAAGTAAATATATATAGATTATATATAAAGGGATAAAAAATGCTTAATGATTATGTTTTTGATGAATTTTTAGGATAAGGTGCTTTTGGTAAAGTTAAACTGGCACATAAGAAAGGATAACCTACTCAAAGATTTGCTATAAAAATACTAAAAAAGAGTAAACTTAAACGATAAAGAGAGTTTGTTAAAGATGCTAATGGAAGTATAACTACTCATTCAATTTAAAATAGATCTTGTTGTTAAAGATGCTTTATAAGATGTAAGAAAAGAAATAGCAATAATGAAAAAAATAAGACACAATAATCTTATTTAACTTTATGAAGTAATTGATAATCCAACAAGTGATAAATTGTTTATGGGTAAATTACTTAATTTATCATAATTTAGTACTTGAATTTGCAGAAGGAGGTTAACTGATTGAATGGGATGATGATGAAGGCAAATTTTATAAATTGAATGAAGATGAAGAATTAACAGAAGCTTTACTTTCTTCTTTATTTAGAGATTGTATTAAAGGTTTAGCATTCCGTATTCTATTTTAATATATATATAAATAGTTCATAAAAATAAAATTGTTCATAGAGATCTTAAACCATAAAATGTCTTAATGTCTGGAAAGACTGCTAAAATTGCAGATTTTGGAGTTTCATAAGTTGTTGGTTCTAAAAATGATGTTCTTGATAATACATAAGGAACTTATTATTTTATGCCTCCAGAAGCTTGTGATAAAGAAACTGCTAAAGATGGATATTCAGGTAAAGCTGCTGATATTTGGGCCCTTGGTATAACCTTTTTTGCATTTACATATTTAAGTGTACCATTTACTGGAGATAGTATTCCTGATATTCTTAAAAATATATCATAAAATGAGTAAATCTATTATTAGATTATTTAGAGTTATTTTCCCATAAAACTTTACTATTAGTGATGGACTTAAAGAATTTATACATTTCATTTTAAATAAAGATCCTAAATAAAGACCAACTATTTATGAAATTGCAAAACATCCTTGGATTAATTAAAGTTCAGCTAATCTTTTAGATGAAATGTATTATAATTTACATTATTATAGGGATTAAGAAGATAAAATTATGGAAATCTCATAAATTGATATAGATAATGCATATTCTTTGGTTTCATTAATGAAAATTAAGAGTTGGGCTTAAAAATGGAGAACTGAATCTAATCTTAAAAAAGCAGGACCATAAACTCCTGTTGAAGAAATAGAGATTAAATGAAATTCTAAATTTTGTTTTCTAACTAATCACATCTTTATAATTTTAATTTTTTATTTTCTTATTTATATTATTAATAAATAAATAATTTTATATTAATTATTAAAATTTTTTAGACATCCATTTTTTATAATAATATATATTTAAATTACAAAAATTAAATTTATAAATTCAGCCTTAATTTCTTAACTCTTCTAATTATCTTTAATGCTCTCTAATTATTTATTAACAATAATTACCTCTTAATTTGATCAAGTCTTTAATTTGTTTTATTTCTTTCAATCTGAAATAGTTTTTCAAGTCTTTTTTATTCCTCTTGATTTTTTGCATTTGCCATTGCTTATTCCCTTTCAAATTCTAATTATTACTCTTCTTCTAAAATCTATTAATTATAAATTAAATTATACATCAATCATTTCTTAATTTTATCTAACTTTTAATTAATCTAACAAATTTTCATTTTTTTTAGACAAACTAAACTTTCCTTAATTCTAAGAAACATATTAAGTATTAGAAGAATTCGTTAATACTTTTTATTATTATGATTTTGGCCTTATATTATGTCTCATTTCTTTATTTGATAAAGTATTTGAATATTTTGCAGTTGATGCTATTTATATTAAAATTATTTATACGTCTGACATTATTATAACTGTTTTATAAACTATTTTATACACGGATACTATTTCCTTCAGGATTTAATACTGATGGATCAAGCTTTCCTAATTTAACCAATTCTAATTTTTGCATTAATTCTTATTTTTAGAATCCAATCTCTTTTTTAATTAACATTCTTTATTCTAACATTTAATTTCTCTCTATTGATAAAATTTCAGCTCTCCTCATTTTATCTTATAATTTTTATCTTTATAATTCTTTTTCATATTCTTGCAATCTCATAATTCTTTCTAATGTTTCCTTTTTATCTTATTCTTTCAAAAGTTCTTTAACTTTTTGCTCATGTAATATTTATTATTTTTCAAATTATTTCTTAAATAATTGAATTATTGCTTACCTCATATATTAATTATTCCTTTTCTTAAAATTTCTTTATAAATTCATTAGTCTTTTATTCTAATTATTTTTCATTGTTTTATAAGACTTATTATCTTTACAATTCTTTTTCATATATTTATTATTTTCTCTAAATTAATTCTTCTTATTTTAATCTTTCTAATTCTTCTTTTCTTTATTCAACCTCTTATAATTTATTAAAATAATCATATTTCTTTTTTTCTTCTTGCATTTAATTTTTTTCCATTACTTCTTTAATTTTTTCTTAATGTTACATAGCTTACATTTAATTTTCATACATTTTTTACATTTTCATTTCTTCAAATTCTCTTCTTCTCTATTCAATTTTTTATTATTTTAAATCAAATGACTAATTCATAATAAAATTATATACCTTCTTCATATTTGATAATTATTCTTCCTATTTAACTCTAGCATTAACTAATTTAAAAGCTAATTCTTATTATGCTTATTAAGATTCTTAAATTCTCTATTATCTCTAAATTTCAATAGTTTATAATCGTTCTGCCTCTTTTTATTACATAATAATTCTTTTCTTTTACATTTCTTCTTCATATTATTGTTAAATTTATTAAGTTTATTATTAAAATTGCATTTATTTTAATCTTCTCTCTTCTTCCTTCTTTTTAGCTTCCATTTTTTAATAAACTGATTTTTCATATTCTATCTTTGCTCTTTCCTATTCTCTTCTAAAATGTTCATTTGCTAATTATTTTTAATATCTCTCTTCTTCTTATTATTTCCTTTTTTTCTCTTCTTCCCTCATTTATTTTTCTTATTCTTATTACATTCTTTTTTCTTATAATTCTTATTCTCTTCTCATTTATTTCTCAAATTATTTTCTTTATTTTTCTTCATTTTTTTCTCTAATTTCTTACATCCTTCTTTCATACTCCAACATTTAATCTATTTCTTTTTATTATCGCTATTTCATCTTTTCTAATTCTTTTTTTTCTCTTTCTATGGCATTACTTTATTATTCTGACATTCTCGAATCCTTAAAGTTTTAATCTTCATTTTCATTTCCTTACATTCCAATTGCTTAAATAATTTATTATCTTGTCTCAATACAAGCTTCTAATTTTTATTATCTTTTTATTTCTTAATGTTCCCAAAATTTTTACCAATCTTGTTTTTCCAGTTTCAAATCTGGTCGTCTTTATTTTAATTCTTATAAAGTTATCTAAATTAATTCTTAAGGAAGTATTCCAATTAATCGACAAGCCTAAATTGATCGTGGACTTTTGTATTGCAGATATCATACCTATCAAAAATCGGATTTTTGAATTTTGTTTGATCAAAATTTTCCAAATTAATCATATATTTTTTATATAAGTTTTATTTTTATTAATGTTATTAATGAATATATATACAAATTTACTTGATTATACATAAATTATTGTCTTTTACCACTTCTATTCATATTTCTAATTCCTCTATAATCTCAGAAAATAAATTAACTAAAGTTGCTTATTTTAGTTTATATAATTGCATCAAAATTCTTATTAAAATAGCAAAATCATAATCTTGAATTATTTTATTTTTTATTATAATATCTCTTATCCATTTTTTTAAAGGATCTTTTGGACAATTTATATTTTTTATTACTTACATCCAATCAATCAAAGTTTTTGATGATTAAGGAATTACACTCTTTAGATCAATCTAAATTTATGTTTCCTATTTCTTTTCTTATATAGATTTAGATTTTGGAGGATTAAGAATTTTTGAATTTATTGGAGAAAATAACCGATTTCGAACTTCTTAAGTTTATTTAGATTTTCTATTTTTTAAATTTTCTTATATGTCATTAAATTGCTATTTATGTATAAACAACTTTTTTGGAAGATTTAATAATATCTATTCTTATGATTTTTATTTTTAATGATTTTCTTTTGATTTAACAAATTCTTCAATTATTAATTGAGCACTCATTTTCCTATTACTTTAATTCTTATTGTCAATAATAGTTAACATGAAAATGATTAAAGGTTTTTTGTTTGATTTAATAAATTATAATATAAATTTATAGTTATACACATGAAAGCTACAAAAAAAAAGAGTTAAAAAAATATTATTTATAAATAAATTATATTCATAATTTTATTATGTAATATAAAAGTATTCGTTAAGATAAGGAGACTGTCAATAATTTTTATTAATAAAATGTCAATGAACCTCAGTATGTAACCAAGAACTATTTCACCAACTAAATATTCTCAAGTCCTTGCAAGTCAGGATTTTTCTTAACCAGGAACTGTAAAGAAAGCTTATCCACTTAATAATCAATCACCATACATCCATTCTCCTGTTTAAAATAAAATGAACTTTAGTATAGTGTCAGAAGATACTGAAAATTATAGAATCAAATGTTATGAACTTGAGCGTGAATTGGCCAAATATAAGGCTGATAATGAACTTTAACGTATGGTTTAGTAAAAAAGTGGTGACTTAGAATACAAAGTAGTAGAAGTGTTAGAATCTAATAATGCATTATAAGGATAATTGGAAAGGGCTTAAAAGGTTGCTTTATAAAGAAAAAGTGAATCTGAAATGTGGAAATAAAAATATGAAGCGTAAATGGGTTCACTTATGTAAATCAGATAGAATTATGAAACAGAGATTAAGGCATTAACTTTAGAAGTATAAAAAGCAAATGCTAGAAACAGTGCGTTAGATCAAGAAAAAAATAGAATTATATCTGATTAAAGAAATGTTGCAGATAATTAAACAATATAAGTTTAAGAAACATTTAAACGATCAAATAGTTCTTAAGCTGATATGTATGAGGCATAACTCAAAAAACTTAGAGATATGTTAGAAGATAGAACATTATAAGTAGCTTAATTGTAATCATAAATTGAAAGATAAAAAATAGAATTTTAAGATTCCTAATTAAGATTAATGAATGAAATAGATATCACTAAATCTAGATTAAGTGCTATTTAGATTGATCATTAAAATGAATTATTGGCTTAAAAATAAAAATTAGAATTGTATTAAGAAACTAATCTAAGAAATTAATAAACAGCTCATGAAAATTAACAAGACGTTTAAGTATCAGAAATTGTTAAACTTAAAAATTTATTAGAAATAAAGGCTTAAGAAATAGAAACTTTGATTAATTAAAATTAAAAATTAAAAATTTAATCTGAATCAGATATTTCTGGATTAAGAATTGAAATAGAAATACTTAGAAGATAAATTTTAAGTAATGAGTAATTACATCAATAAGAAAATCATAATATTTAGACTAATTTAGACAATATTCATAATAATGATACTACAAGTCTTAAAATGACACATGAAAATTAATTGAAAGCTTTACATTAAGAAATATTAAAATTAAAAGAAATTATTGATCATAAAAATTAAGATATATAAAAATTGGTTGTTGAAAAATAATAATAAAAAGATTATTATGATGGAGAAATTTAAAGATTGATTAATACTATTGAAGATTAAAAAAGAAAAGCTATCTTATTAGAAAATGAAAAAAATAGGGAAATTGCTGATTAACATGCTAGAATTGAAAGATTAACTATTTAATATGAAAATATGTAAATAGATCTATAAAAATAGATATAATTATTGAGTTAAGAAATAATTAATTTAAAAAATTTGTTAGATCACAAAAATTAAGAAATTTAATAAAATCTTAAGAATTATTCTTAAATAAAATTAGAATTTGAAGATAAATTAAGAAATTTATAAAATGAATTGGAGCTTGTTAAACTTAGATCATTTGAAACAGAGAAATCAAAGTTTTAAGAAATTTAAGATTTAAAATCTTTAATAAAGGATATAGATACATAAAATAGAGAGAAATAAAAATAATTGGAATAATAGATAGATCATTAAAAGTATGAAATATAAAAGACTTTTGATATGTATAATAATAAATTAAAAGAATGTGAGAATCTAACAATCTAAAGAAACAATGCTGAACTAATTCAAAAACGTATTTAAGATGAGAATGATAAATTGATTGATAAATTACATAATTTTGAATAAGAGAAAAATTTAGAAATAGATGAATTAAGACTTAAAATGGATTCAGGTGCTGCATATTAATTTGAGAATTTGAAGAGTGCATATAATACATAAGTAGGATTGCTTTCTGATTAAATTGCTGATCTTTAAAATTAATTAGCAATAAAGAATAAAGAATTAACAGAAATGATAGAGAAATACACAATATTGGATAAGAGTCTTCTACCAGAAACATTAGTATCTAGAGCTGCATACAATAGTAGAATAGGAATTCCAGCTGAATTATTAGCTAATAAGTCTATACATGATGCTACTCTTAAGTCATAACTTAGAAATAGTCCAATTTAAAGATATTGAAATTATAATATTACTATATAAATCTATTTTCTATTATTTAAATGGTTAGCTATAATCAAGAAGAATTATTAAAAAGTCAATATAATTTATATAAAAATATTCTCATACAAAATGATTCACACTATCTTTTCATTTCCAGTTGATTATTAGCCAGCTTATTAATTTGAAAATGAAAGCTTACCAAAAAATTAGAAGATAGATTATGCAATCAATTAGAATATCAGTGATTTTCAATTATATCCCTAATTTTAATAACCTTAATAACTAGTCAATTACGAAATTGTTGTTGATTAATAAAAGCATAATAAGACTAAGAAGACTAAAAAATACAAGTATTGTTTTAATTTGATTTTATAGAAACGATGATTAAAAAGAATTGCTTCCTAAAACTAAATCATCATAAGAAGAACCTTGTAAACAAGAATTGTATTATTTAAACTATAGCATTTTAGTATAAAACAATTAGTTTAACCCTAATATTCACTAGTACATTTTACATAGGGTACTTTGTTACCAAAATTACAATCAGATATTGTAACAGATGGTTCACCTCTTGGTTCAAAATAAACTTTAAAATCTAATAAACATCATTAAACAAAAATATCAAAAAAAGAACACATAAATACAGGTCATTGGTCAGCAGTTGAACATAATACTTATGTAAATTTCTTGTCTCAATATGAAAACATTATGAATTCATCAATGATGAAGAAAACATCTAAAATATTTAAATAAATGAGTGAATTAATAGGTACAAGAACTCCAAGTTAATGTAGAAGTCATCATCAAAAATTTAATCCATATGCTCATAGAGGTGAAAATGGTAAAAGATTACCAAGAAATGAAAGAAGTAGAGCAGGACGTAAAAAGAAAAATTAATTGATTGAATTTACTAAAGATGGTATTCTTATTTCAATAATGTAGAATAATTAATTGAATAGGATCCTTCATATATGATGATTGATAAATAATTTTATTATCATCCATATATTGCTAATGGAATTGATTATTAGCCATTCCTTAATGATACAAATCTCAAAAGAGAAGATGTGTTAGAATATTTTCATCCAGGTTAATTTTAAGATTATGAAGATTATCTAAAAATTAGACCAGATTATAATAATTAGTTAGATTATTGATTATAATTATCTTTAATTATTTAATGATTGCATTAGAGCACTGTTAATAACTATTAGAGCTTTACATTCTAGAATATAGTGATCCTGATTAAATTTATGTTTAGGATGATGAACCAGTATATAAGAATTTAAACTAAAGAAAATACCAGTTTTTGATAGACACACTACACAACATGTCTAATCTATCTTATAGATACGTAAATCAATCAAACTAAAAGATATTTCATCTTAATAAGTAATTGATATCAAAAAAGAATATGGTTTATTTGAAACATATGATCCTAAACCATAACTCTTAGTTATTGATAGAGATAAATCTGATGATAAATATCGATTAGAGGCAATGAAGAAAAAAAAAGATAGAAGAAATGTTAAACTTAGAGATCAAAATTTACCTTATAACGAATTCATACATCCTGCAAGATAAATTTAAGTTAAATTATTATTATCAAAAAAACCATTAAAAGATTATTAAGTTTATGATTCCGATGGCAGCATTATGAGAAAGAGAGAATAAGTCAAATAATTAAGTCCAATAGTCAATGCAGTGAAAAGTAAATTATAAGGAAGAGTTGATAAATAAAAATCAGAAGCTGTTGCTGAAGAAAATATTATAAACTAATAAGCATTGTTTAAATTAAAAGTTTAAACAAAAGTCAAAACATAATATGATGAACCCTATAATTTTGAAGGTTTTCCTTTGAAACCAGGAGTTAAATTAACATTTACTTAAGAAAATAAGAAAAAAGAGGAAGAAAAAGTTAATAATGAAGAAGAAGATTTAACTGATGCTGACACCTATTAACTCTAATAATTTATTAGAAAACCAAGTTATACCACATTACCTTTATTTAAATTACCAAAAAAAAAACAGAATTTAAGTCATGAAAGATCATTTCGTACTATAAGATAAAATAAAGCCTTTGATTATTTTTGATTAGTTAAGTAATATTATAAAAATTATTTCCATTTAAGAATTTTAATTTTTTTTTTTATTAAAAATAATTTATCCAGTTATGCTTTTATTTTATTGAAGATAGTTTAGGAATATTATCAGATTTTACTTAATTATCTTAATATTAATTATAAGTCAAATATTCTAGTTTTTTTAGCTAAATATTTATTATTTCAGCATAAGATATTAAAATCTGTCTTATCTTTAGAAGAATGATAAAATTATCAATCTAATATGAAATTCAAGAATTCACAAATAATATGTATTTTTGAGACTTTTTTTTCTATTATTACACTATTCAATTGATTTTAAACAGCTTATACCTAAGAGTCTATTTCAATTTGAGAGAATCCATCTTCTTAGTATTTTTCTTTTATTATGATTATATATATCTATATAAATATAGTTTTAAATATTAATTTCTTAAAATTGATACCTAAATTTTATTTATAATTTACTATCTTATATGCTCTGGTAATTATCAATATTAAAAAAAAAGAATTAAAGAATAAAATTTTATTAATAAATTAAAATGAAAATGTTGTAAAAAAACAAAACAATTAAAGTATAAATTATTTACCTAATTTAATGAAGATTAATTGATAAATGATCATAATTATTAATTAGATTTATAAATATAATTTATGTAATAAGTAAGGGAGAGGATAAATAATGTTATATTTAAGATTATATTGTTTTGATATTATATTTATACTTTTCAAACAACCTAATATGCTTAACTGAGTATGCCACAGGTATTATTTGGAGATAACTTAATAGATCCATTTTCTCCCCATCCATAGCCCCAAGAATTCTAAACAATCCAATTGTATCCAAAATCGAATCCTACTGCCAAAGCATAATGATTAACAGTTTATCCACAATCAAAAAATGTACCATTTCTGTAGAATTACCAATTTGAAGCATCAACACCAACAGAGACAGGATAATTTTATAAATAATGTTGTAAAGTTGATTGTTAATTACCTACAAACTAATAGTTGTTGATTCTAAATTCTCCTCTATTATATCTGCATCCTTATTATTAGCCAACATAAGGATAATAGACACCACTCATTAATCCAATTTATTAAGCATAATGCATAGCATTATAATTATATCCTCCATAACAACCTTTTGAATATGAGTCACAATCAATTAATTATTAAGCTGAGGCTGTAATATTTCTTCCTCCTCTTATTCCATACCAAGCTTCTATAGAATTACTGACTGAAAAAGCCCAACCAGCTCCACATAATCCTTACTCTTTAATAGTAGTATAGGAACTCCAATCGATCTACTTAAGTGGTTCATCAATATTTAAAATTTGTTCTTATGGTTCTTATTGTACTATTTATGGAGCATCTAATTAATTCAAATATAATGAAATAAATTCATCTTTTGTCAATGCCATGAATTGATTCTCACCCATATCATATGATCTGGATTCTACTTTATTGTGCTCTTCTATCATTTTTTTATTTGTCTAATAAACTCCTTCTCTATATATTTTCTCTTAACCTAAATAACTCTTATGATGCTTTTAAGACCATATTTCAAACTCAGATTGTGATTATGATGAAGTTTGATAGTTATTTGTAATCAAAAGAAGTGTTATTGCTGCTGTTGCTAAGATTTATCGAAGCATTAATTAATAATATCATTTTCAGATTAGGAATTCGATTAAGAATAATTAAATATAGAATATCTTATTTCCAAGTTTGTTCAATTTAATTCTATAAAAATATTTTACATTAAAATTGTTTATGTAAAATTACAATAAGTCTTGCAAGAATAACAATTTTAAAAGAAAATTATAGTTGTTTTTAGAGATTAAAATTGTATTAATTTAGTAAGTTTTTTATTATTTTGTCAAATATATTATATTTAGCAATAATAAATGGATATATTCTAGATGTCAATTTATTTAAATCTATATATTTTAAATTTTCTTGTTCTTATAGGAAAGAATAACAAATAACAGAAAATTTTAGCTTAAATTTCTAGAATTTAATATTGTATTAGTCAGAATAAAAATTAAAGGAAATAAATCATAACAATTGTTTATTTTCACAAAATAAATTTGATTAAAATCAATATATTGTATAAATAATTATTATTTTTAAAATCAATATTTTAAGTATTTCATTGATGAGTAAAATATATGATAAGCTAAAGATTTATATTATTCTATAAATATGATATATTATGTCAATTAAATCTGAATTAAATCTTGTCATTTATCAATATATTTATTCTATAATTTTTGGATAATGTCTGCTATATAAAAGCTTCCCGTTATATTTAAAAGGTTGTGATTTTGTTAAATATCTTATTAATTCGATAGATGAAAAAAAATAAAAATTGAGATTGCTACGTTAAATTATAAATTGTAATAGTTTTTTTCTGACTGATTAAATTCTCAAATTACTTTTGTAGATTCCAAAAAAAGTATTTTTTAGCATTGAAAATTGATTTATAAATAAATGGACTTATTTGATAACAATTGATAAAAAAAGTTGGATTATAGTTAAATTCTTTGTATTAAGAAAACTTTGGAATGATATTGATATATGTTGAAAGTAGTGATTTCAAATAGAGAAATATAATAAGATAAGTATGTAAATCATAAATTAATAAATTTAATATGGATAAATCATTCAATAAATTTAAAAAGCATAATTGACTATTCCGCATGTGTTATTTGGATATAGTCTAATATGTCCATTTTCTCCCCATGTAGTTCCCCATGAATTTTAGACTATCCAATTATTAGCAGTGTCAAAACCAACTGCTAAAGCATAATGATTAGTTGCATTTGGATTTGATGAGCAATTCATAAATAATCCTGATGAATAAAATTACCAATTAGTTGCATCAATACCAACTGATACTGGATAATCACTCAGATATTGATATACAGACCATTATGATCCTCCAATATATGTATAACCATTAATAAAGAAAGTACCATTTCTAGTTTATTTACAAGTTTAGTTCTTAGCAACATATGGATAATTTGAACTACTCATTAATCCTACTCTTTATACATAATCCAAAGCATATTAATTATGACCTCCAGCACATCCCCATGACTATTAATCACAATCAACTATTTATTATGTTGATGCATTTATTTTTTGAAATCCTTTTATAGCATACCATGATTCTAATGAATTACTTACAGAAAATGCCCATCCTGAATTACATTCTCCTTGATTTTTTACTGTAGTGTAGTTTCTCCAATCCACAGCAGTTAATCTTTAATATTTTATTTCTTGTATTTCCTATTATATTATATCTTTTAAATCATCTTATTTTTATAAATAAAGCTCAAGGAATTCTTCATTAGTAAGACTCATAAATTGATTTTCTCCCATTTTATAACTCACATCTTCTCTTTAGTTGTGTTATTCAATCATTTTTTTGTTAGAATTATAGATTTCCATTCTAAACAACTTTTCCTTATCTGTATAGTATTTGTTATTTTTTAAAGCCCAATTTTCAAAATCTGATTTATTATTAACAGATAAATGGTAATATCCTGTTGTCATGAATAAAATTGTTAAAGCAGCTACTAAAAATTATTTCATCAAAATTATAAATATTACATTTTTTTCATTTTCTCATTAATCCAAAATATTTGCTTATGGAAAATCTTATTCATACTATTAAGTCTATAATCGTTTATTCTATTTACAAAATTAATAATAATCATTAAGATTTTAAATATAAGTTCTTTAGAAATATTTTAATAAAACAATCTTATATATATATATATTAAACTTATAAATTTATTATCTTAGCTTTATTTTAAGATACTATAGTTTACTAAATTAATTAATTATAGTTTTCGACTTATTCTTTATCTTTAAATATTATTTATTTATTTTTTAGTAATAAAATAAAAATATATATTACTTATTAATTTATTTTTAATTATTATATTCTTTTACAATCAATTAAAATATTGATCTAAATGCTCTAACATGAACTCTTTCAATTAGAATAAATATTAATTAATATATTAGAGTAATAATAATAATATGAATAATTATATAGATTATTTTAATAAAACTTCAATAGGGTTCCATTAATGTTAAAGTGGGATCTTAATGATATTTGAATGCTGCCTTGTACATTTTATTAAAATCTAGTTTCTTATTTAAGAATTGTGAATACATCTCTTCTCCAAGTTTATCTTTGATGAAATTTTATCTTTTTGTTAAATCATCATATATCTTGAAAATAGATCGAATAAATACATCATTAATTAAAGTTATTTTTGAGGCAGTTCCTTATTCTGATGTGCTTTTAAATTTACATTATTGTAATTTTGATCTTATATTTTTAATGCTAATCTAAAATTTAATAAATTTAAAATACATTATAATCTAATAATGAAAGTTATAATCTGTTTTTTTGTTTTTCCTTAGCTTAATTCTATTTTAATTATTAATCTCTTTTTTCAATCAACATTTAAATTGTTTCATTATCTTACACTTTTCCTTAAATAAATTTAATTGTTTTTTCACGTAATTTTTTGTGCTCATTTGAATTAGCATTTTTAAAAGTCTTTTTGAATAAATGTTTATTATACATCTAAATACATCTTTTTTTTATTTAATTAAAGATGCAAATCACTTAATAAATCTTCTTAATATGTAATTTTTGCTTCAAGTGATGTTTTGATTTCTAAATAATTTAAAAATTCAACAAAACTTTATTCTTTAGAATAATCAGGATTTTCAATCTTAATATAAGACTTATAATATTACTTCAATGTATTGACTAACATGGGCCATAGTTTATCTTAAAACTTCAAGCTTATCAGATATAGCTTTACTATTTTTTTCAAGTTAAATTCTTTTCATTCTTTATTATTCTTTATCTTCATTTTAAGCATATTGTAGTTATAATTTTTGCATCTTTTCTGTAGATTACTATTATATAATTGAATCTGATTATTAAAAGAAATGATCAAAATTTTCTTTTTGTGTAACAGTTTTATTAATCTAACCAATCATTTATTTTTAATAACTCATATTATTATTAAAAGCATCTACATATTGAATATGTATTGTATGAATTTATCTTATTTCAGTTTCCATTTTACTGATATCTTATTTTTCATATTTTATAAGCTTATTCAAATTACATTATAAATAATTTAAGTCTCTAATCCATTCTTCATTATATGATCTATTGTCTCCACTAATTTTAATAATAATTCTTAATCTACTATCTTGTACCATACTTAATAAATAATCATGTTCGGCTTCCTCTCTTAATTTTTTGAGGTTTTCAATCTTAAATATATAAAAAATAACTTTACTTTTTCTTAAATTTATGAAACTGTATCAACATCTGTACCAAAACCTTCATTATGTTAAAGTGTTCTTAAATTAGCTAGTTTTTTTGTAGCTGCTTAACTATTAAATATTATTTTAATAAAATTACTTTTAATAAATAATACAATCAAGTTCTCTTTTTAAATCTTTTGCTTATTATACCATAATATATATTTCCTTACCATTATGAAGAGCTATTTCACTTTTTAATCTTGGTAAGATAGATTAAGAAGATTTATTCATAGTTTCTGGATTAAATTATTTATATTTTTCTTTTTGCATTTTAGATTTATCAATAATTCTCATTGTTGTATTTAATGATGTTTCTTAAGTTTTGGATATTGCAGGTAAGGTTTATTATTTTTTATCAACTTAATTTTATTATTATTTCTTCTACTCCTCTATTTCTTTATGAATTTAAGATAAACTCATTTGATCTTCTGTTATAAAGAAATGTAAACTTGTTGTTTGAAATTTTGTAGATTTGACTTCTCTATTTATAGGTTTATAATTTAAATTCGTTAATGTATTGTCTGCTAATGATTTTTCTTTTTTAAATCCTTTCAAACCTGGTAATTCATTTTATTATCTTATTAATGTTAATATTGAAGTATTCTATTCTTATTTAGATGGAATAATAGATAATTCTTTATCATTAAATATTGTTGTATTAGAATCTTCTTACTTTTAATACATCATTTTCTTCTTCAATTTAGCTTCAATTGCAATTTTTAATGCTTATTTTGTAAATGCTTTTTCTTCTTAAACACTCATATATTCTGTTGCTTTAGCAAAACATTATTTCATTTTAGCTGAATAATCACTATGAACTGATAAACAAACCCAAGGAAATTAAATCCATATCCATCTTTTATAATAATAATCAGTAGGTTTACGTTCACTTACTAAAGATTATTCTTCTAATTTCTTTATTTAAATTTAATTATGTGTTAATTTTAATTAATCAGGCTTTTTTAATTAAACATCTTCATCTTTACTTAAATTCATATCTAAATCTCTCATTGATATTTATCCATTATCTAATTTTTAATATATTTTTGCTTCCTCCGTTTCTTTTTCTCTTAATTTTTCTTCTTAGACATTACTTATTCCTATCTTTACTTCAAAAAACTTCTTCACCTATTCTCTATTATATGGAATATCAACATTTAATTTTTCTAATTTAGTAAGTATTTCTGGTTTCTTTTTTTTTTCTAATAAACTTGTTTTCTTATTATCTTCTTCTTTTCCTGTTTTTTTTGTTTATTTTTAATCTTTTTATAAAACTTATTTAGATTTAAGTTTTTCTATCTTTTCATTAATTCTTTCCTCAGGTGATTTATAAGTTTCATCATTATTTCCTATTTTTTTTGGATTTGCATCAATTATATAACATAAATTCATTCTATAAAGTTCATTTAATAATCCAATATCATCTAATTCATCTTCAATACCTTAAATAGGTGGATGTCTAAAACTAGGAGTATGATAAGTTTCAAAATCACAAAATTCTTTTAAAAATCTTGATACTTATACAATTATTCTAAAAATATCCTCACTACTAGGATGATATTACATAGCAAATCCTTCTATAGCTTTATTATATTCTATAACTGGATCAAATCCTTATTCCTCTAATTTTTACCAATAACGACATAAATCATATTTATTATTAGGATTGAATAATAATAAAAAATTCTCAATAGCTGATACTATTTCTTTTAATTTAAAATAGGTTTTAGCCATAAATAAATGATATGTTTGTTCTTCTAATTTTCTTATAGAATTTGTTGATTTATTTAAATGATCAGCAATTTCTTCATGTAATTTAGGAACTAAAGAATTATCTTTTATATATCTTTTCTGAATGATACTCTTAAAAATATCATTATTAATAATCCAATACTCTTTATAATGCATGAGATAAACTTTAAAGAAAACTAGAAATGTTTTCCAATCATTTTCATTTAATTAACAAATTGTTAATGCTTCTTAAATTATCAAACCTTTTTAGGTAATTGTGAAACATAATAACATTTTAATAAATTTATCTTAATCTTTAAACATCTTAGTTTAATAATGATCTAAAATAAAATTGACTAATTCTTCTAAGCTTGTAACATCCATTAATTTAGAGATATCAATTTAAGATACCAAGGCTTCAATAACTTCTGGTCTAACATCATTTTCTCCTATTATTCCAACACTAGGATATGGAATCAGAAGAGAGAGAAATGTTTTACAAAATATTGAACTCATTTCACATTTAGTTTATGTTAAAATATTTAATAATTTATCTTTAAATGAATCAGACTATAAAATTAATATAAAATAATTACTAGAAATGTTTTTCTCTTTTTATGTGTTTCTATCATTTTTTCAATGATTTTAGGTTCAACTTTTATAGATATAATTTGTGAATTAATTTTTTAAAGATATTACATAGCACCAGAATTCTTAGAGGCAGTTAAAATAACTTTAATTCTTGGTGGAAAGAATTAAGGTAACCAAAAAGAAACATTAGCTTCTTTAGGGATTCCGTTACCTTAATCAACAAAGTGATTGACACCTTCAAAAATGAGAATGATTCTATTATATAACGTTTTAGCTTCTTTAAGAATTTGGTTTTCGATATAAGAATTACAAACATCCAACCAATATGCAAAATATTTACGAAGTTTTTCTTCTAATAATTCTACTTTCTAGCCTATGTTTAATAATTCCCTCAATTTAACCAATATTCGATAAATGGCATAAAAATAATTACTATTGTTTCCTCCAACCATAGCAAAATGAGGAATAATGATATCCTAATATCTCCCCTTTTTATTGGCATTATGATATCCAATCCATTTAACAAGCAGAGTTTTTTTACCAACACCATCTTCTGCTTCAATTACTAATGGAAGATTTTATTTTCCTTTCTATTTTTATAGGAAATATATATATTACAACATCCTAATCTAACCATTCTTCAATTTTTAGAAAATGTTTATCTAATCCACTTGTTTATTAATTTTTATAGTATTCCATTACAACCTCAGAAGAACTAAAAATTAAATAACAATTTACTCTATGTAATTGTTATACTCTTCTTCTAATTAGGCTATTTGAAAGGAAAGATTTTATTTCTGATTTCCTTCTTCCATCAGTTTTATTATTTTTATATAAAAATAAATCAATATATAAATGTATAGCTGATCATCTTTATCTTCTTACATATCTAGTTTTACGATCTTCCTATTTTTAAACATTTCTGAGAGCATTTGAATCAAGAAGTTCAACTGATGGACCCCATTAAAACTAATGATCATATTCTAATTCACATCTAACCCAATTTTTATCATTTATTTAATTTGAAAACATAACATTTTTGAATTGATTGTAATTTGTAGTACTTTCAATCAAAGTTCTTGTACTCTTTTTTAAGTTACTATAGTCTTCACCAGTTTTAGGTTCCATTTATCTTTACAATGAAGATATTGATTCTCTTAATGCATGAGCAATTCTAGGTTCATAATATTCAGGCATTCCCATTTCTTTAGCTGTAATTTCTGCTAATGCTTCTGGTGAATTCATAGTATTATTCATATCCCATTCTAACTAATCTTTAAAATGAATATTTTCAACTCTAAGATCTACATGGAGATTTTTTAACATTTCATTTTTTGTAGGATAGTAACATTTATAATTTTAAACTTGCTTCTTTATTTAAGTACAAATTTCTTATTCAATTACTGAAGGCAATTAATTTTCTTCAGTAATGATTCTTGCAAAAGTTTCAGGTATCATATGAGATTCATTTAAATTCCAACAAAAAGTTTAGTAAATTTTTTTGCCATCTAATTCAAAATCAATAGTGATTGGAACTAATTATTGATGTTTAGGAGGTTCAATGGGAATATCTTAAGCCTGAATAAATAATGAGTAATTGTTTTACAGATTGATTGAAAGCTTATTGTAATGAAATATTGGGATTGTTTTTTAATTGTTCTTAAGTTTTACGTAAAATGATTTCTTATCTTTATTACTTAATGGAATTTTGATATTGATTTCTAAGGATATGAAATTTAGAGATAGGTAAGACAGGTCTAACAGTGTGATGGGATACTAAGATTTTGATAAATGAATAAAAGTATTACAAAATTATGAAGCTCTACTATCAGGAAGTCTAAATTGTCCAGTACCCATACCTTAACCTTTATTAGCATGAAATGTAGCAATCCATCTTTCCAATAATTCTTCTATTCTTGTACTTTGTGAATTAGAAATATCTTATTTGCGTGGTTTATTTTTATTTTACATCCAAAGTGAGAGAGTACTATGATGGATGCCTATTTCTCTTGCTAAATCTACTTATTTAATATTGTGTTTTTAAAGTATTTCTTGTATACGTGATTTGAGATCTTTTTGTATTTACATTAATTAATGGAGGGACCTAAAATAACAGTTGTAATTAGAAAGAGACCATTAGGAAAGAAAGAATTAGCTCGTGGTGATTAAGATATTGTACAAGTTAAAGATTAAGCCACAGTATTATTAAGCGAGATCAAGTATGCATTTTGAAATTCAATATACTCTTTCTTTTTTAGATAGAAAGTTGATCTTACCAAGTATGTTGAATAACATCACTTCAATTTCGACTTAGCATTTGATGAAAGTGTAAATAATGAAGGAGTTTATGCCACTGCAGTACGTCCTATAATTGAAGCAGCCTTTAACAAAGCCAAATGCACTTGTTTTGCATATGGATAAACAGGAAGTGGCAAAACATTCACTATGCTTGGAGATACTGAAAATAATGTTCATGGACTATATCTTATGGCTAGTTACGACCTTTTTGCCATTTTATAAAGAGTAAATTGCATCACTATTATACATATAGCCTGAATATTGTAATTTATATGTCACCATTTCCTTTTATGAAATTTATTGTGGAAAATTGTTTGATCTCTTAAATGATAGAACATAATTGGCTGCATAAGAAGATGCTAAAGGCAATGTTTAAATCAAAGGATTAACCGAAAAAAAAATTCAAAATGTTTAATAACTAATGCAAATCATTCAACATGGATAAAACTCTAGAGTCACTTCTTAAAACTCTGCTAATTCAGAATCATCACGATCTCATGCATTACTTTAAATTAACTTAAAATAAGGCAAATTAGTTCATGGCAAACTTTCTTTTATTGATTTAGCAGGTAGTGAAAGGGGTGCTGATGTTAGAGATTAAGACAAAACAACTAGAGTAGATGGAGCTGAAATTAATAAATCACTTTTGGCTTTAAAAGAATGTATTAGAGCATTAGATTTAAATAAAAATCATACACCCTTTAGAGGTAGTAAACTCACACTTGTTCTCAAAGATAGTTTGATTGGTAATTGTAGAACTGTTATGATTGGAAACATTTCACCAAGTAGTGCTAATAGTGAACATACACTCAATACTTTAAGGTATGCTGATAGGGTTAAAGAGTTAAAAAAACCATAAGATTAAAAATCAGGTGGTGATCCACTCAATAGAGAATTGATGTTAGCCAGAACAGGTTTTATTTCTTTCTTATTACGTTAGATACCAACGTAATCCGTCGGGAGTATAGAAATCCTGATTCTGAGGAAGAGGAAGGTGATGATTTATATAGTGGACCACAAGGATCTTAAGGTAGTTTAAGTCAGATGAACAATTAGAAATATCAATAATCTCATAATATGACATCTTCTTAATAAAACTAATCATAATAATAATTTTAATATGGTTAATAATAGTAATTATAATAATAATAATTATAATAATAATTAGCCCCTTAATCATAACCTTAATAACATCCCCGTACATTATCAGCTAATTCTTAATAATCATTGTCTTAGTAACAATAATATAATTAATAATTCATCAATCCTTATGCCAAACAGTAACAACCATAATAATAATAACCACCCAATATTCCGAAATCTAAAAGTGTTTAGTCAAATTAACAATAATAATAATAGTCATCATCCCAAACACAATTGCCTTCTCAGCAATTTTTTATGTAATAGCCAATGATGAATCCATAATAATAGAATATATATTAATAGCAATAGTAACCCAATCTTTAATAATTCACTAATCCGTAACCTTAACAATATTAACCATAAATGTATAGCAATATACCAAAATAAAATGTTGTTTAATAAAATCCATTACTATTTTAGTAATAACAAAACTAATTCTCATAATAATAATAATTGTTTTAATAATTTCCATAATAATCATATGCTAATAACAATCAATTTTATTAAAAACAATAACCGTTGATTCCAGGAATGAATCCTATAGTCTAATAGCCATAGCCAAATAATTTTATGCAGCATTACCTGGATAATAATTTAAATTAATAGTAATAAGACCCATTTATAAATGATGATTTTTAAGGTGAAGATGGAGACAATTTATTATTAGAAGAAGTAGATCCAGAATAGGAGGTTTAAGAATAAAGAAATTAAATATTATCACAATAACATTAAGAATTGGTAAATAAAGTATTATAAGAAGAAGATGAAATAATTGTATTTCATAGAGATCATATTGATGTAATGGTCGAGATTTGTAAATCGGTATTAATTTAAATTAATAATTAGGATATGATTCTATTGAATTCATTAGATTAAAATCAAGTTGCTGTAGCTGATTATATGGTTAAACTAAAATAGAATTTGTAAGTGAAACAATAAGCTATCAATGATTTCATAAATAAGTTAGGATAATATGAATAATTGCTTGAATAAGTATTGAATCTCTATACAATTATTTAGGAAGCTGAACTAAATGTATAATTGAAGGAGTTCGGATTGGGTAATAACTCAAATTAAACAAATATATAATGATAACTAATCATAATGTTAACTCTAGATCATATGATCCTCCTGTCATTCCAAACCCATCATAAATGCTTCATGAGTCCTAATTCGTCAGTGTTTCTCATAAACATCTTTTTCTTCCAAATAGTCCATTTCAAATCAATAATCCGTCTGATAAACCACTTTCACAATTACCATTTGAACCACAACCTTTAGAGATGATGTTTAATAATCTATCATAATAATAACCATTAACTTCACAAATCATCGCTTAACCATACTAATTTTCAAATCTCAAATAGTCAACTTCTTCCACTATCTTTAGATAAAAAAGGTATTTAACTATCTATTCAATCATAGATCTACTTAAGATTAATTACAATCAACTACTGATAATTATCAATCCTAAAAAGAACCTCTCAAATCTCAAAAAGGTAATATCAAATTACTATTCTAACTGTAGGACTTAGAAATTTGTCAATCAAAGTTAAATAGATTGTATTTGAATTTAAATGCACTTCCTATAAAGATGTGGCAGAAAGACTTATTTAAGAATTATCTCAAGAAGAAGGTAGAATTACTAATTCTAATCATGTATTTTTAAATAATATTATAGTCAAAAGATGAATAGAATATTAAAAGAAGAGTCTATGATGCACTTAATGTTATGATTGCCTCCAAAGTTCTTATTAAAGAAGGTAAAAAGGTTAAAGCAGATTCTGAAACTCTTATCTTAGGCAAAAATCTTATACAATAAAAATCTATTTAAAAAGAATAGCTTGTATCTCCATATTCTTATTATTAGAATCATATGTAAAAAATTGTTGAATTTAAAAAGAAACAGCTTTCTGACATTGTTTGGAAGATTAAGGCTGCTCATTCACTTATTTAAAGAAATAAATCATTAGAATAAATTTAAAAATAATAATTGTTTTATTTCCCTATCTTAATTTTTACCTCATAAATTAATAACTAAAAATTTATTAGAGATAAAAAATATTTTAAAATTTTAATGAAATCCAAAGTCAACTTCATGGCTGATTTAGNTGAACTAAATGTATAATTGAAGGAGTTCGGATTGGGTAATAACTCAAATTAAACAAATATATAATGATAACTAATCATAATGTTAACTCTAGATCATATGATCCTCCTGTCATTCCAAACCCATCATAAATGCTTCATGAGTCCTAATTCGTCAGTGTTTCTCATAAACATCTTTTTCTTCCAAATAGTCCATTTCAAATCAATAATCCGTCTGATAAACCACTTTCACAATTACCATTTGAACCACAACCTTTAGAGATGATGTTTAATAATCTATCATAATAATAACCATTAACTTCACAAATCATCGCTTAACCATACTAATTTTCAAATCTCAAATAGTCAACTTCTTCCACTATCTTTAGATAAAAAAGGTATTTAACTATCTATTCAATCATAGATCTACTTAAGATTAATTACAATCAACTACTGATAATTATCAATCCTAAAAAGAACCTCTCAAATCTCAAAAAGGTAATATCAAATTACTATTCTAACTGTAGGACTTAGAAATTTGTCAATCAAAGTTAAATAGATTGTATTTGAATTTAAATGCACTTCCTATAAAGATGTGGCAGAAAGACTTATTTAAGAATTATCTCAAGAAGAAGGTAGAATTACTAATTCTAATCATGTATTTTTAAATAATATTATAGTCAAAAGATGAATAGAATATTAAAAGAAGAGTCTATGATGCACTTAATGTTATGATTGCCTCCAAAGTTCTTATTAAAGAAGGTAAAAAGGTTAAAGCAGATTCTGAAACTCTTATCTTAGGCAAAAATCTTATACAATAAAAATCTATTTAAAAAGAATAGCTTGTATCTCCATATTCTTATTATTAGAATCATATGTAAAAAATTGTTGAATTTAAAAAGAAACAGCTTTCTGACATTGTTTGGAAGATTAAGGCTGCTCATTCACTTATTTAAAGAAATAAATCATTAGAATAAATTTAAAAATAATAATTGTTTTATTTCCCTATCTTAATTTTTACCTCATAAATTAATAACTAAAAATTTATTAGAGATAAAAAATATTTTAAAATTTTAATGAAATCCAAAGTCAACTTCATGGCTGATTTAGATATTGCTAAAAAATTATATGCGTAAATCTTTATTATTTTTAATTTAGTGAAACCATAGACTTAAAATATCTAATAGAAGAATGCTAAAATTTATTCATTTGATTTAATTAAATATCCTATTTTATATAGTATATTTAATTTTTATTATTGTTAAAATAATTTTGAAATTGTTTAATCACTTTATCACAATTTCTCTTTTTTATTCTTTAAATATTTTATATTTTTTCCAAATTAAATTGATCAAAAATTAATCCAATACAATCAAAATTTTATTTGAAAAGTATTTAAAATCCAAAAAATTTACTAAATAACTTTATTATTTATGAATATAGTTATTAATTGAAACTTATAGACAGATTAATTAACTTTAATTTATAGACAATTTGATTTAACATAAATTATTATGCATAATTAATTAATTGAAAGAAATGCTATCGAATCTCTCTTGAATGTTTGTTATGATGAATAACCTTAATATGATGATGATTATGAATAAGAAATTAAATCATTATTGAAACGAACTATCCCAGTTAGAGTAAAAAAAGAAGAAAATGATATTGCATATCGGTAAAATACAATAAGTTTTCGAACTCCTCTAAGATATTAAAATGAATTTAGATTAAAAACAGAAACAAGATCTCAGATTAAATAACCAAAAACTTAAAGAATACCTAAAAAAATTCCATAAATAACTTTAAAATAATCAGTAAAACCATAAGTCAAATCATTTCGTGATATAAATCATAAAATTTAAGTTCCTCTCAAAACTTCGATTGTGTCCTTATAAAATTCAACTGGATACAGCTTTCTAAATACATCTGAATATTAAAATCCAGTTTTGGTATTTTAAAAAAAGTCTTTATATCTACCCAGATTCATCTTAAGATTAAAGTAATAACAATTAATTAATTAAAAGTGAATTATATTATATTTGATATACACTGTTCACCAATTATTTTTGCATCTATCCATTATAATTGAATTTAATCTTTAATTATCTTACATTAAAGTTTGAACCTTTTTTTCTAATTCTTATGCATAATTAGCACAACTTTCTAAAGCTAAAATCTTATTTCTAGCTAAATCTAATTCTTGATTTCTTTATGTGAACATATTTTTTATTTTTTCAAGTTCACTACAAGAATTTCTTAATTATCCTTCTAAAACTATTACTGTTTTTTAAGTAACTTACTTTTCATTTAATTGTTCCCTTAATTAATCATTTTCAATATTTATTTAACTAAATTTTGTTGAATATTATTCTAATGAGGTTTGTAAGTCATTAATTTATGAACTTAATTGCCAAATATGATTTTCCAATTATACTTTTTCAGTTGTAAACTTCAACTATAACTAAGATTCAACTTAAATTCTCAATTAATCATATTACTATTTAGTGATTTTATCAAGTTCATCTGTTAATAAATTTATTTTCTTTTAGTAATTATCTTTCTCTAAAACCCACTATTTTGTAGCTTCTTTTAATTGTTATAACTAAAATATTTCATAATTATTTTTACTTCTTATAATTATTCCTGATCTTTTTCTTAATCTCCTTTTTTTCTTTCTATTATATATTTTAATTAAGAAATTTCTTCTTATTTTCTATTATTATCTTCCCTTATAAAATCAGTTTATAAAAGTTCCTTTTTTAATTGATCAATTTTTTATTATTAAAACTTGACAATTCTTTAATTTTCTAATTATATTTCTTCTAAGGAATTTGTCATTTTTTCTAAATCTTGTTATAATATTGAATTGTCTTCTTCAATAGATTCAATTTAATTTAATTTTTCTTGATATTTGTTCAATTATTTAGTTTTCTCATTTAATAGATTTTATAATTTTAATACATGTTCAGATTAAAGTCTTAATTTAGTTTCTAAATCTTATTAGTTTTAAAGAAGTGAATTTTTATCTTTTTATAATTATATCACTTATGATCTTAAATTTCTTAATTCATCATTCTGAGAAATATTAGATTTACTTTAAGCTACTAATAAAGTATTTTTGACCTCTAAATTTTATGTTTTTTCTATATATTCTGATGATTTTTGAATTTACTACTATAATTATTATTTTAAAAAAGAAAGTTCTGAACAATTTGAATTAGTACTCTATTCTTACAATTATATTGAATTTTATAATTCTTTAACTTTAAGAATAAGTTAACTTTTTTCTTTTCTTAAATTATCTAATTAAGTTTTAATTAATATCTTTTCTTATTAAACATCCATATGATTTGATGACTTTTAGAATTCTATATTATATTTATCTTATCTTTCTTATTCTAATTATTTTTAAGTCTCTTCAAAAACAGATGTTAATTATTCAATTTATATTTAATATTATTCACACTTTTTTTGTAGAGTTTTATTTAAGGATTCATATTATTATAATTATGTTTTTAATTGTTAATTTTCAGTTGTAAGTGTTTATTACTTGATTTCTATTAAACGATACCTATTTGAATTTTAATTTTTTGGATCTTAGTTAAATTTAGATAAATTTTCAATTTCTAAGTCTTTTTCTAATAATTATTTTTATAATAAAACAATTCTTGAATTGACAAATTAATCCATATCATTTGAATTTATCTTCATAGTTTTTCTACCAGTTTAATTTATAGTAAGAATAGTATTATTATTTTCTTTATTCATTCCGTTAATAAATATAATAAAATTAATAATGCTTAATTCTTATGATACTCCAGATTTTCGAGAAACATTAGAATATAAAGGAAATTTAGCAATAAAGCCAATTAAATATGATTTAAAATTGTTTGATAATGTAGAAACTCTAATATGTCCAGAATTATAAATAACAATTAGATGCTAACAAATATTCTTTTTTATGCAAATGATGTATTTTTTTGTAATACATATGGCTTATTTAACAATTCCTAAAAAATTAATTATTGAAAGTCCTTTGATATATATATTTTCATGGAGGTAATTGATTCATAAATATAGTATTCTTGTAGTTGAGTCGTTTTAGATAAATTTGTCACCAAATACAGCAAAACGATTTCCTGTTAATATTTTATTATTTACATTTGGTAGTTTCGGACGAGTGTTTGTTTATTTATTTATTAGTGAATACTTCGATATTTCTAAATTTTTACTTTTGAATTTGATGACTATTTCATTAATTATGTATATTAGATTTAAAGTTCTGCAGTAATCATATCATACATATATGGAAATAAATTAAATGAAGAATCCATTCTAATTGAATGAAGAATTTATGACTGAACCATAAGTGGATAAAGATTGGGATTTATTAATGAGTAGATAAGAAGAAGATTTAAAATAGTTAGATAAAGATAGTTAAGAATAAGAAGAAGAAGTAAGTGAAAATAGTATTTAAAAAGAATAAGATTAAGTCATTTAGAAAAGTGAAATTACTAATAAAAATTTACCTATTCTTAATGAATTGAAATAAGAGAATTAACCTACAAATAACGAAATTATTAATATAAACAACATATTGGATTTTAAAGTATTCTATTATAATTATATGATTGCAATTATTGTTCCTTGTTTTATTTGGGCATTTTTTAACTTTCCTATTAAATAATTGATTTCAGTACTCATTTTTAATATGCTTTATCTTACATTTATTTGGATACATTGTAAGACTTACAATTCAGAAAGAAGAATTTTTGTTTTAATTTACAATATGGAAAATGCTTATTTATTATTAACTTCTTATTTTGATGCAGACTTTTTGTGTCCATGGTGGCTCATTTATGAATTAATTAAAATGGGAGATAAGAATAATTAAAAAAAAATGAGACTCTCCTCTTATTGATTAATTATATCATTTTCATAGTTATTTAATATATATGTTACCATATATTATTAAGATATATAATATCAATTATTTTCTAATTAATAAGAATATGATAAAACTAAAGACTTTGCCATTTATTCTTAATTTTTATATACTCTTGGCATTAAAATAATACATTCTTCTTTATTTTTAATAAATCCATCTATGGGGTCATTCTTAGTTTAATTAAATTAATGTCTTTATCCAATTGATTAGATATCAAAATATAGGAAGGGATCACTTATAAAACAATTAAACATTATTTCTGCTAACTTGTCTTAAAATATCTTATTTTACATTTACTTAAATATGAATCAATGATATCACCATTATTCAATTTCAGACTTTTTTGCAACTCTAATTTTACACTACTTAAATTGATCATGCATTTTTCATAAACTTATTTATAATTACTTTGAAAGGATTTTTTCAAGACATTAATGATAGGTCCTTCAATTGTATTTAAACAACTAATCTTGTATATTAAAATAAATTTAATTACATCGATGATATTTTTGAATAAGGGTGTAAAATAATCATTAATTATTTTATCTATTCGATTCAAAGAGGTTTAGAAAAAATAAATAATACCTTTCATGTTTAATTCTTAGCTAAGAACATCAAAAAAAATATCAAAACATTCACATTTATAAAATTCTGCTATGGAATTAGTTAGTTCATTAGTCATAGGAAACGTAATGCTTGTATTTGCAAATCCAGAAACCATACATCTAAGATTTGATTGCATTTATAAAATTTCTAGTTATAGATTTTGATTTTCCTTTGTCAAAATTTCTTTTTCTTTTTTGGTGATTTATAATTTATTCATTAAGATCTTAATTTTGCCTTTCAATTCATCTTAAGTCCCATCTAAATAGTCATTAGGTTTTGAGATATTTTGTTTGACATAATTATTCTTCATATTTAAATTATGCTGTTAAGAGTATATTTTATATTTTAAATTTAAAAAATAAAAGCAGTTAATAATAATGGCCTTATTAAAGGACGATACTGCATTCACACATGTAATAGCAATAGATTTTGGGACAGGAGCATCAGGGTATAAATAAATTAAATTTAGATTTGGATTAGCTCCAAAAGTTTTAGACAAAGAAGGTAAACCAAGAATTGAGGTATTTAATCCTTGTGATGATTCAGATGATTAAAAAACTCCAACTGCAATATTATTTGATAATAATGGTTAATTTATTGAATTTGGATCTTAAGCATTATAAAAATATGCTAGTTTATTAGATGATGGAGATACAGCTTATTTATTTTAAAATGTAGTTTAAGATGTAAATTTATTAGTATAAAATGCATTTATATCATATGCACAATAATGCTAGATCATTAGACAATAGAGAATTACCATTAATGTTATTAATTAAGGAGACTCTCAAGTATATAAGCAATAAAGCAATACAAAAATTAAAGGAATAAGTAGGGAAAGTGATATCAACAAAAATTAGATGGGTTTTGACTGTTCCAGCCTTATGGAGTGAAGAACATAAATAATTTATGAGAAAAGCAGCAGTAGAAGCAGGAATTGTTGAAAATCTTAATTCTTCAAATTTATTATTATGTTTAGAACCAGAAGGAGCATCAATTTAGTGTAGAGAAGATGCTGAATAAACATTAAAAGAATAAATGGCAAAAAATTCTGTAGTTATGGTACTTGATTGTGGTGGTGGCACAGTTGATATTACAGTTCATAAGTTATTATGTGAATCTAATGAAAAGTTTTTATGTAATGAACTGATTCCATCTTCAGGAGGATGTGAATGGGGATCAAAATATGTAGATTTATATTTTGAAGAATTTTTAAAAGAATTTTTAGGAGATAAATTATTTGAATGTTATTAATAGAATGCAATAGCAAGATTAGATATATTAAGAGATTTTGAAATTTTAAAAAGAAAATTTAAAGGAAATAAGGATGAAAGATGTATGATAAAATTTTCATATTTGGGTGATGATTTAAATACTGCAAAATTGACATAATTAGTTAAGGAGCATAATTAAAAACATGCTGCAGAATATTAAGTTAAATTAAAAGGTCTTTCTAATGTAGAAATACCTTCAGCTTTAATGGGATCATTTTTTTAGACTTTATTTGAGAATATAAAAAATAAAGTAGGTTAATTATTACAGTAAGTTGAATAGAAAAAAGAGAAAGTGAATTTTATATTTATGGTAGGTGGATTTAGTGAATCTCCATATTTGAAATCTGAAATAATAAAAAGATTTGAAAATAATGCAATTTAAATATTAGTTCCTAGACGTCCTTAAGTATCTGTAATAAGAGGAGCATGTTTATTTGGTTTAAGTCCAAGATCAATAACAAGTAGAATAGCCAAAAAGACTTATGGAATCAACACATTAACAACTTTTGATGCAGAAAGACATCCTATAAAAAAAAAAGTAATTATTGAAGGAGAGGAATTTAGTGAAGATGTATTTGATGCTTTTGTAAGAAAAGGAGATGCTGTTGGGTATTATTATAATAATAATTATTTAGTTGTGATGAAGTACATACAAAAATATATTGTCCAGTTAGATCAAGATAGACTATAATGAGGATAATCTTTTATGTAACTGAGAAAAGAGAGGTTGAATTTGTTGATGAATAAGGTGTATAATAATTAGGAGAATTGTGTATTGATATTGGAAAACCACTTTAATCTGTTGAAGATAAAACTGTTAAAGTTACACTTCTTTTTGGTAATACTTGTATTTATGCTACTGCTACCAATAAAGATGGAACTGAAATTAAAAATTGTGAATTCAAATTCGAATGTGGATAATGATAATTGTAATTAATAAAATGAATATATTCTAATATATTTATTTTCATTTACCTAATAATTATAATAAAAATAGTTTTTAAATTAAATCGTTAATGGATACTACTCAATTAAAAACTAAAGTTCTTCTAGAGTTTGCTAAAAAAAATAAATAATTGTTAGATGAATGGTCTGAAAAAACAGTCTAAGCATTCTTAGAATAAAGTAGAAAATTTACAGAAGAAATGTATTCAGGAAATCTTTCATTAGTCGATGATGGATATAATGATACATAAGAATAATTATTGATTCTAGAAAACTTATTTAAAAGTATCAATTAAATTTAAAATGAGATTTTACTAAAACTAAAGGTGATATATAACATAAATTAAGAATTTCATATTCTATTGCTAGAAAATTATATATGGAAAATTTATTAAAAAGAGTATTTTTAACATTAAGGAAATAAACTAAATTTTAAATATATATTCGAAGAATGAAAATATTTGCATCTAATTATTCCAAGTAATAATGAAAGAGAATAGATTAGATTGAGAATTCCAAGACAAGTGTTTACTAAATGGAGAAAACTAGCACATAATTAAACTAGATAAGAGATTCTACATTAAGTTAATAGAAAAACTGATAATGAAATAATGTAAATGCAAAAAGAATATGAATAATTAATTGCATAATTAGAAAATGTTTTAGAAAAAAAATTGATAGAATTAAAAGTGGAAGAAGAATAACATAAAGAATTAGTCTTAAGATATGATGGTATAGTAGAAAAGCGAACAGCAATAAAACATTGATATTTATAATTTATTTAATAATAATTATTATTTAATTAAATTTATATATATATAATCATTATAATTATTATTTATGATGGTGACACCATTCACACCAACATTATTTTGTTTATTCTCTTAATTATTTTCTTTTATTATTTATTTCTTATAGATATTTTTTTGTAAGAACTCTAATTCATTTCTAGTTTATGGATAAATTGATAGGCTTCCTTTCCAACCAAAATATTTTAATAAAATTTTATTGATCTTCGAGAAGATTCTTATTGATAATTTGTCTTAACAGATCCATCACTACTTAATTATTATTCCTTTCTTTTCTTTCTCTTTTATTTCCTCTTCTATCTTTATTTATCCTTTTATTCATCTTCTTACATTAAATACTATTCTAATTCTTACAATTTACTTGAATAACACTCTTTCATTTTATTACAATTCTCTAATCTTTTACTGAAAATATCTCCTATTTATTAATAGAAAGTATACTTAATAAATTATTAACTTTTATACTCTCTATATAGAGTTATTAATTTATCTTTAATTAACAATCCTATACAAATTAACAATTCTTCTTAAGCATCTTCTTCTGTTGAAGCATGCTAATAAAATGGTTATATTTGAACTTTATTTAATAATTCATTTAATAAAATTGCCTTAAAATTATGAGATTATTTTACATCATATGGAATCAAAATTTCATTTTTTTATTGATCATATTTTATAAAACAATTAATACTGCATGCACATTCAGATTAATAAATTTATTATTTAAAATGCTTTAAAACTGCATAAATATTTTATTTACAGGATGAACAGAATTTTTTGGTTTTCAAATAATTCTAAATCCAATTAATTTTTGATTACTTATAAATGTTAATCAAATTCTTTTTCTTAGATAACAAGATTTTAATTTTCTTCCACAATTTCATTAGAAATATAATGAATATGTTCTTAGATGTTTATTTCTGAGATTTATTTTAATGAATGTAATTAGCATCTTTTTTTATTGTTTAATGGAATAGTCTTTTTGAAAATACTTGATATTATAGATTTGTTAATTGTCCATAACTTGATAGTTTAGAAAGTGTTTTAAAAATGTATTAAGAATGAATTAAGTCATCATTTAGAGATATTTCTGAGTTTATGGTAATATATTTGTCTTTCTGATTTAAAGTAATATAATCTTTTAGAGCTGATATACAACGAGAACACTTTAAATTGATTTATTCAATGAATTCAGATTTTGAGACGTATAGGCATTGTTTCAATAGTTGTTGTGATAATTTTTGGGATTCCTTATGTTAATTACTTTAAATACCATGCTGTATAATAGATGACAATATATTTTAATTTAAAATTTATGATTGTCACTTCAAATATAGTGAATGACTTGAATACTGCATTTTAACTCATCAATATGGGTACTAATGAGAAAATCAGATAAGGAGAATAATTGTTATAGTAAATTAGAGGTGATATATAATATCCTAAAGTGTTATTTGATTATTTCTAAGCTTATGAAATTAGTTTAGGTCTTCGAGCGGCAATTGAATTAAAATTATGGTTCAAAGATTATCGTAATTTTGATGATTACTAAGCATAATATGTTCAAAGTGTAGTCTAAACAATCAAGTAACATATTATTAGAGCATACATTATGTCTGAGGCACCTTTAATTCATTAATTGAAAGATGCTATTGTTTATGTTGCTTAAAGAGATTTTCCAACTTAATGGCCCACTCTTATGGCAGATCTAAATTAATTCTTAACTCATCCAGATTATGTGTACAAAACTGTGAAGCTCATCTACAAATTGACTGAAAAATATGTTTACTAATCAAGAAGCGATCCATTATATGAAGAAATCATTATAACATGTGACACAGTCCATAATAACTTGTTATTATTGGCTAAATCATTAATATAATAAATAGAAGCCCTTCAAAATTTGTAATTATCATATGAAATTCTAAAGACATTATTAAAAGTTTTTTACAATTTAAATTTTTAAGTAATTTAAATAAATGATTAAATAATTTAGGATTTGCATCCCCATTTTGAAGATAACCTTTAATCTTGGATGGAATTTATGAAAGTTGTTCTTCGTTTATAACCAGTCTAAGGTGTTGAATAATTTTTATTCAAATGTAAAGGTGAAGCACTTAGATGTGTTTTATTGTATGCAATGAAATATCGTGATGATTTTGGTGATTTAATATAAGTATTCTCTAGTGAAATATGGAATGTTTGTACTTAGACAAGTTCTGGAAGAGATAGTGATAAAGTAAAATGAAAAAAATAATAATTTTAGATTGTATTATGTGCTCTTAGATATTTCAAGACTTTAATTGCTTGGTAAGATATGAAGGCTTTTTTTGAATAGAATATAAAAGTTTTAATAGAAAGTCTTATTATAAGGAATTTATCTTTATCAAGTAATTCAACTTAAATATTCAATAGAGGATGAAATTGGAATGTTTTCAGATGAACCATAAGAATTTATTGAAAAGTTTTTTGAATAAAGTGATTTAGAATCAAGAAGAGCTTAGGCTGTTGAACTCTTTAAAACAGTTACTAAACATTTTAATTAATAGGTTAATCTAATTATTTAAGAATATCTGTATATATCTATGAATTATATATTATTTTAGATAAGCTTATATTCAATCAGGAATGAATGGAATTGATAATGAAATTATTCTTATAAATTTAATCATAGAAGCTAGTACAAGTTCATTTACATCAAAGGATGGAACTATAGATATAATTTTATCATAAGAAAATGTACTTGGATTTTATAATCATTGTTTAAAACCTAAATTAGGATAAATATTTGAATTACAATAGTAAAATTAATCAGTTGAATAAAAGTTTACTCCAATTCAATTAGCTTTCTATTGTAGGTATTTATTCTATTTCAGAAATGTTATTGATAAAGTTGAATTACCAACATTAGCTACTTTAGTTTCAAAATTACAACTAAGTAAAAAAATTACATTATCTAATATTGCATGCTATACAGCATATTCATTAATAAATGTTAGATAAGATGTCAAAAATTATGCTAATTAATAGTTATATTTTGAAAATGTAAATATTTCTTAATATTTACAATTGATTTTGACTGACTGTTACAATAACATAAAATAATAATAAAAATTAGAGACATACAGTTTAAAACTTACTAATTCATTAATCAATTTATTAAAATAAGAAATTTTTAATGCTATTGCTGCATTAAGCAATTTATTATAAGATTTACTTAAGAATATCAAACTTGAATATGAATTTCAAAATGTCCATCTAGTTTTTGAAATTATTGCAAGTGTTATTGATGTATGTATAATTGCTAAGAATTCAGAAGCTGCAAATTAATTATAATAGAGTATTTTGAATTAACTTGATGAATTATTAAGAGAAAATAAAGGTGATGTTACTAATTTTGTTTTATAGATTTATTCTCTTTTTTTATAAGTGTAAACAAATGCTACTTCATATTATTAAAATCTATTATAGAATTTTCTAGAAATTTAAAATTGGAATGAATCAAACTCATCTTTATTTTAAGCATATATTATTTTTTTTTAGTTTGGATTTTAAGGAACTAATTTACCTACTCCATAATTATAAGCAATACTTAAATCAATTGTCTCACATAGTACTCCATAATATACAGAATTATCCAAATTTCTCATAAAATAAAATTAATAATGGACAAATATTGTTTTATCTGTTATTTTTGAATAATACTAAATATAATAATAATCTTAACCATAAATATCTTCAAAATCAAAGGCAACACATTTAAGTTAACGATTAATTAATAAAGAAGTATTTCTTTTACTTGCTCATATCTTTGCTATTTATGGAGTAGAAATACTTGTCACTGAATGTTCTAAGATATCTCCTTAATTATTAGAGAGTTTTTTAATAAATGAATTAGGAATTATTAAATCTATTTCTTAAAGAAATGAAAGAAAATTAATTTTTACTATGTTATCATCTATACTATTTATAGGATCGTATATTATTTATTTTATATTTTAGATTCTTGACTTAATAATCATGGAATCTTGTTTTCTAAGCTATGGTTGAAAATATAACACTTAAAAAAAGAAATCCACTAAAATTTATGGGAAGAGTTACTGATAGAGAAGTTACCTCAAGTTCTGGATTTTAACCATTAAAACCTGTTATTGCTAGAAATGTATTATTTTTATATTAATTTTAAGTCTACTGATAAACTATTAAATGATGAAGACAAATTATTTAGTGCTCAATTCAAAACTTATTATAGTAATCCAATCGTATAATAGTAATTACCAATTCAATAATTATTAACTCAATAATAATAAGAGTTATTAAGTAATTTAATACAATCTGTTTGAGTATGATATCAATCAAATTTATAATTAATTTAATTGCTATAAATTATCTTCTCATTTAAAATAAATCTATATTTTATATTATAAATTAATTATCCTCAAATCTAATGATTTAAAACTAAATTATATTTATTTATCTTTCCCTTTATTTAATTTTATAATAAAAATTTATATATTTTAAAATAATGAAAAAACAAAGTGAAATCATGCAGAAAGGTTAATTTTAAATGAAATTTAAAATATATTCTTAAAGTCATAAAAGTTATATAATGCATTTGACTAAATCTTATCAATTAAATAAAATAATTCCATTCTTATTATGCTACAATTTGAGAATATCGGATTAATTGTATAAATTTCAGATATTATATTGAATTTTTAACAAAGAAATTCTAATAATTTAAATAAATTATTTAAGTTCTTATTAGAAAAGTAATTTGTAAATTTGATAAAGAAAAGAAATAAAATTAAAGTTTGATCTTTATTTTAGAAATAAATTATCTTAAAAGAAGTATATGTTTATTTTATTATATGTCTAAAGTAAATTAATTTGAATAAAAATTAATAAAAACTCAACAGTAATTTAAATTATCTAATAAGATGGATTAAAAAGATAATTCAGAAGAAAGAATTGTAAAATTGGTCAATAAAAACTAAACTTTAAGTAATAATATTGATTTTTTATTGTAAGAAAAAAAAAATAGATGCAATTAACTCCAAGTAAAAATTGCTAAATTAATTCAATCAGATGAATAAAATCATCTTTAATATGAGAGGTTAAAGATTAAATATTTAGATTTGAAAGAAAATTTTAGAATAAAAATAAATAAAATTAAACAATCAATTGTTTAATTAGGTGATATTAAGGAGTCTTTGAATTAATAATTTAATAGAATAAGTAATTTTAATAAATAAATCTTGGAATAATTATAAGTATTTATAACATAAAGAAAAGAATTGGAAGAGATGAAGAGAGTAAATTAATAAAATTATAATCTAATAAAATAATTGAGATTTTCTTAAGAATAATTAATTTAAGAAAAAAATTTGTTATAAAAGATTTTAGGTTAAAAAGAAGCCTAATTTTCAATTTTCCAGCTTAAAACTAAGGATATTGAATTATAAAATTAAATAGATTCAGAATAATTAAAATAGAATATTGTATCTCTAAAGGCACGTTTAGAAAATTCAAACAATAAGTTTTAAGATTAAAAAGATATAGATTGCTATATATAAGAATATACATAGAAGGATGAATAATAGAAGAAAATGAAAAATAAAATAAACTAAAATTCTTAAAATAATGATTAATAAAAAGAGTTATATTTTGAATCAAATGATTGTGAAGTAAAAAGTGAGTATGCTGATGAAAACTATGCAAATAGCAAAAATGATGGTTGTTAGATAGTTGAAGAAAATAATAATGAATAATAATTTGTATCTGAAGGACCTGTAAATAATTGTATAGAAAATAAAGATTAGAATTAATAAGAGAATATTTATTTGGAAGGTGAAAGTTATTTAGAAGAAGATGACACAAAAAAATTTGATTTTAAATAATAAAAATTATCAGAAACTAATATTGATTTAAAAGAATAATAAATAAGTTAGGAAATTGAATAAACAAAATAGAATGATAAATAGGATTAACTTATAAATACAGATGAAAATGATTTAGAATTATTAGATGTGTAATTTGATGATGATTTTTATGATGAAATGGTATAAGGAAAAAGTGATAAAGAGATATAGAAAGTTAAACTCGAGGTATAAACACCTTTATACAATAATATTAATGATTTTGAACAAGTATAAAAATTAGAGGAAAATAATTAATAATCAGGATGGGACTTTGAAGGCTTTTGATTAATTGAAATCTATATTAAATTGTATATAATTTTTCATTCAAAAATACAATCCCAAAGCTAAAAAACTAAACAGTGTTCCAGATGATAAAAATAATGAAGCAAATAAGCCTACTGATAATTCTTTGGTCAATGATCTTTATTATTTATTCTATGTAATTTGGTAACTAAAGTATTTAATGCTATTTACATAACAAAATATGATAGGAAACAGAATCCAATAAAAGTTAGTACAATTGCTAAATTACTATAATGTTTTGTGTCTATTGGAGGTTAATAAGCTTAATATCCCATATATATTAAAAATAAATATTATTATATTTACAGAAATAATCATGTCTAATTTTTATCATGAATTAATCAAATAGCCAATTTTTTATTCCCAAAAATTATAAGCAAATCCTGAATTTATTTAGTCATGAACTCTCAGCTATTTTATTTATAGACTGTATTTACAATTCAAAAAGATCTCACTGAAGAGTATAATTAAGATAAGATTTTAATTAAACCTACCTTTAAATAACTATTAAACTAATTAAAATCTGATCAAGACAAAAATATAAACATTTTTGGACTTTATGGATATACAGAAACAATAATTAATTATATTATTAAAAGATACAATATTAATGTTTAAATAGATGTTGAAATATAAAATTAAACATAAAGCTGTATTGGAATGATAAATTTAGATAATTTATTGTTGTTTTGCTATATAATCCCTGTAAATAATAAGGTTGATTAAATAGTGAAATAAATAGAGACTACTTTATTTAGGTAATCATTAAAATTTAAATAGAATTTTAATTGATGTTTGTTAGAATATTATTATATTGCCAACTGAAAATATATTAAAAAAATGGATTCCGATTAAAGATAATCAAATACAAAGAAACAAAATGTAGAATTACTAATCAGAAGAGATTGATTAAAACAGTTGTAGATTTGTAGAGATATAGTAGAAACTTGGAATAATGCAAATCTAAAATTATAACTAATATTATAAGAGCTCATTAAATTTGATACTATTTTATAATCTTAAATAAGAAGAATACAGTAAACTTATTGAATCTTACTATTAAGATTAAGTGAAAAATATTATGTTGTATGGACGATTTAATGAAGAATTAGAATTTCCTAATCTAATTTTAGATGGAAATTAAATTTAAAAAATTAAAAAAGATGTTTTGTTTTCTATGACTCATTATTTTAAATAAATTAAGGATAGTCTTGAGAATGGTTTATATCAATAATTATAATTGAAATTTTCTCCTTAAGAATTTAACTTTTTAAAACTAGTAAGATTCTTTTTAAATCATGCTTTTCGATAGCTTAAATCTTTTAATGATAATACTGAAATACTTAAAGGACCAGAATTAATTAAAGAGGTTAAGACATCTAACATTTTATTCAAATCTAAAGAATTATTAGCTAAATTGATTAAACTGTAATTAAGTATATTAATAGAGAATTTTCAAAGATGTAAGATTTTGTCAATAGAAAGATTAAATAAATAATGGAGACGATTGAAATTGAAAATGGAGTTGGTCAAGAATTTATTATTGAAATGAAACTCTAAAGATTTAAGATTTTTAGAAATATGGACAACTCATTAAGAATATTGAATTTTTGAATAAGGATTTAAATATGTCTAAAGAAAAAGAGATAAAATTTTAAGAACAAAATTATCATAGTTATTAATTAGTTGACTTATTTGTAAAATTTGAATGAAGGTAAGCAAAGTGATTATCTATTAATAAGGAAATGTATGATGGTAGAATAAAAAAAGATTTGCTATCATGTATATTTGTTAATAGAGAATAGGAAACCAATATTAATTGTTATTTATACAGACTTAAACAATCCTTATTTTTATTATATTATAGAGTAATGAACATTATTTTAATTTACCAAAAAGAATAGTGATTTCAACAGTAAATAAAGATAAAGAATGTATAGATACTGAAAGAATAATAGATTTTGAGGAGACAATCGATATTATTTAATATAATTATTCTGAAGAATATGAATGTTTTTTATTATTGTCAGAGGATAAGAAAGTATACAAATGGTCATCAAATGATTCAGAATTTAGCCAATAATTATAGAGTTATTAAGATGAAGAAGGGTTTGTTTTTGAAAAATAATTTGATACAGACTATTAAAGCTTAATGTTATGTGGATCAGGAAAGTTTTATTTATTATTTAACAAAAATCAGTAGATATATATGATTTTAATAATACAAAAATTTCATCAATATAATTTAGATAAATATACTAAATAGATCAAATATTCATATTTAGTGATCAATATGATTGTTTTATATTTTTGATGAAGAATCAAGAAGAGTAAGAACTATCTTAATTGGAAAATTTTAATAAGAAGAGTAAATTAACGAGTAATTAAAATTATCATGTTCAATCTTAAAATTTTATTTTGGACTCAATAAAATCATCTTTTATAGTATATGGTAAAAATGCAATTATGTTGGGTGTTGTGTAAGATTTAAGTAGGTTTTATTGTTCTTAAGAATGTGGTGAAATAATAAAAGATTGTTTCTACAAAATTTAATTATAGAAATATTCAGTTCTATATATATATAAGAAGTATTTGCGATAGTAGGTGTGAATTCTAGAGTATTATTGAATGTATTGTCATCTAGAGTACCAATATAATTATGTACATAGTTAACTATTTAAAAGTAAACTTATGATTTTGGTAAGAGACATATATCAAGCTACCAGAAGAATAAGCCCAGGAACAAAAATAATAGCCGCAAAATAATTATGTGTAAGAAGTAATCAGGAGGAAAGCGATAAGAAAGAGCAAGTTTGCAGAGGAGAAGCAATTCAAGTGTGAACTCTGTGACTTGAGTTACCACTTTCGATAAGGATTACATAGACACAAGTAATCAGTGTTTCATAAGAGATGAGAATAACATCATTGAGAATTGAGATTATTCTGTACATATGAATGTAGTTCATAAAATGCCTAATAAGAATTGGATGGACAATTAGATTCAATTATTAATTCATCCAATAATGAATTGTTTAAATAATTATTGAAGAATGGAGTGAGTGCTTAACTTATGAGTTATTTTGAATTAGAATAATTTGATAAGGATGTTATTTAAATTAGAGAATAAATTCTTGAAAATGCAAAGAATACATTCAGATGGTAAGAAGCATAATCATTATTTACATCTTTGAAAATTACATTATTATCAGTTAAAGAAATTAGGAATGTTTAAGATTATGAATTGAATTATTAAATACATAATTTGAAATTATAGTCAAATATTTATTGGTTAGAATTACCAAAAGAAGCAATTAACAAAGAAGATCATATTAAAATATCATAATAAATTATATTAACTTAAACATATAAGATAATTTTAGTTTATTATTACAATAAGCATTAAATATAGTTAGAGTACATTTTAAATAAGAAACATGTTTTATGTAAAAATTTACAAAAGTAGATAAACTGATTTAAATGTTTACAAATATAAGAATTAGTTATATTGTGAGTATTTTATAAAAAGAGATAGAATAGAAATTGGTATAACTCTATGATTTAGACAAAGATATGAAATAAAATATATTATTGGATTGTGAGAATGAATTGAAATAGCATTTACATTATTATAAATTATGTTGATAATCGTGTAGTAGTTGTTATGCCCTATGCACTTAATACAATGGACATTTAAGTTAAAATGGTACTAAAATAGAGAAAATAAGAGTTAAAATTTAGAAAAAAAAATCTAAAATATAGAATATAGAATATATTAAAATAATTAAATTTACAAGAGGAAATAAATATAAATTAATATTTGGAGAAGTAACAATTGTAATTATAAGAATTGTAAGTAAATCAAGCTAAAATTATAGGAGATCGAATAATGGTTTAAAGAGTGGCTGAATTGAAAGAAATATAATAAAAAGTTTAATTTGTTGGAGAAAGGATAAAGAAACTTAATAATATAATTGAATTGTAAATAAGTTTGAATGAAAAACAAGATCAGATTTTTCAATTTTATAAATAAATGTTGGAGTGAAACACATCTATGTGAAGAGATTAATTGTGAATTTTTACAATCTCATCCAGGTGAACATTTTAAAACAAGTGAAAAGATTAATTAATGTGATACATATTGAGGATTGGTCATTAAAATAATTCATATCATTATTGTTAAAGTAAACATGTTTGTTAAGAGACATGTCAATATTGTGAAGAGAAATGCACCTAAGATCCTTTTGAGATATTGTAATAAATCTTGTACTTTTGGATGTTAGAGATAATGTTCTGAATAACATTCTCGTGAATTAGAAAAAGAACATTTTTGTAATTGTCATCATTAATGTGATAAATTATGTATCTTACCAGGAATATGTACAGTAAAAGATATGTGAAAAGAGTTAAAATTTGGAAATAGAATGTTATTTAGAATCTGGTCACACAAATCAGCATCATACAATATATCATTATATTATAGAAATCTAATAATCTTGTTTTAATTGGATGAGAAGGACGATAATATATAATTTTGTAGACCTGAAGCATGTGATGAATATTGCATAAGATTAGGTAGAGGACATAACCCTGCAATTGAATGTGCTGATGAATATTTGTGTTATATATTTATATTATTATTAGTTATTATATAAAATATTCAAATTTATTATGATTATCTATATCAATAACAACTTAATAGATCTTTTAAATATTTTAAAGCAATCCATATATCAAATAATCTTGACCATGTATTATGTAAATAATTCTGGGAAATTCTGGGTTGGGACTAACCTGTTAGAGGAATTAAAAAATAGAGATGACCAAATTTAATATTAAATGTTAGATTTGTAATAAATATTGTAATTATTTGGTATGGCATGATAAAGGAATGAATTCCATAAGTCATAAATTTGAATGCCATAATACTCATTTTATAAAGTCTATATAAATTGCATTAATTGTAGATCAAACTGATGATAAGAATATTTAAATTGCTAATAAGATTCTCAGTAATTCTATAAATGATGGATTTTGTAAAAGTAAGATTTAATTTGCTTTAATATTATATCGTGATCATCATCCCTTTAAAGAAATATCTTCTCCAACCTTAATATTAAGTGATTATACTGATTCTGAAATTTTATCCAAATGCTGTACTTGATGGATTACATGAATAATCTTAATTATCTTGGTTAAATAAAAACTCATAGAAATTTGTGATTCTCTTAACTCAAGTTCCTCCTCATGGTCATTTAAAATATCAAAGTTTTGATGATAATTATCCAAAAGGATGTCCTTGTAATCTTAAAGAGATTGAAGTACTAAAAAATTATAAAATGAAATAAATTCATTTAATTATTCCTAAATTGAGTTGTTATCAAATCTTATGATCAAAATATTTTAGAATTATCTTCCAAGTATACACTCAATAAATCTAAATAATAATGTTCCACAATCCATTCTCAAATATTAATCAAATATCTTCATATACCTTATCAAATCATACTATGATTAATTATTATCATTATATTAATAAATATATTATATATTATTTTCTAATTAGAATATATTTAAAATACATAAAATACTAATGTTTCATAAATATTTTTTATCATCTACTTCTAATCCTTTTTCATTTTATAATCTAAAAACTTCTTTAACAGTAGCTATATTATCCAATCCATTTAAGTTTTATCTTTCAAATATTTATTTACTTGTTTCCTACATTGCTTTAATACTAGCTCTTAAATTGTGATTTGCCCAAATAGCCAAACTTACATCTATATCATAATATTTTATTTTTACTATTTTTTCTAAACTCTTCAGTTGGTGTTGTATAATAATTTGTTGGTACTATTACAACAGGTAATCGATTATTCCAATTCTTTAAAAAAGATTCAATTTCTGTAAAATCACTTTTCTTACTATGAATTAACACTGCATCAACTCCTGCCTTTCTATATGCTTCACATCTCTCTAATGCATTGTCTAAACCCCAACCTGCTATAAATGATTCACATCTAGCCACTATTTAAAAGTCTTTGTCTCTTTGAAAATCTTTACAAGCCTAAAATTACTGTTTTAATCAACCTTAATCTTATTTGAAAATTCTTATATATTTGCCAATTCTTAAGCTCCATCTCCTAAACTATTTCTTTTAGGAAAGATCTTATCTTCAAAACAAACACCTGCAATCCCTCTCTCTTCTAATTTTCTCACTAATCTTCTTGCATTATTGTAATTCCCAAATCCAGTATCTCCATCCATTAATATTGGAATTGTTGTTCTTTCTGCCATAAATTCTAATACTTCCAATAATTAAGTCCATGAAGCTTCATTACAATCTCTTACTCCTAATTATGCTGACATCGATAATCCTGATGCCCAAATACCTTTAAAACCTGCTTCTTAGACTATTAAGGCTGAAAGTCCATTGTGTGCCTCCATTATGAACTCTAATTCTTTCGATTGAATTAATTGCCTTAATTTAGTTGTTCTTTTAGAAAACTATAATGAAGGTCTAAGAAGAAATTTAAGCATTGAATTAAAAATTAATTTTATTTAAATTTCATTTTATTTTCTTTTATTTTATTAATTTCTTAGATTATATCTTGATTTAATTTACCACACAATCATAATTATTCTATGGTTTGAATTACTAATATACTCCTATTTAATCTATATCAAAATTATCTTTAACATCTATTCTAAATAATACATTATCTAAATCACTATAATGTTAATTCTATCTTGAAGATAATGCTGAATAAGATCTTGAATTAGATCCTGAAATTGATTTCTTTTTTTGAATATCTGGACTTACTGTACTTGTTATTGTATTTGTCTATTTTTAAGTCATTCTTCTAGGACCTGTATAAGTATTATTTTATCCCTCTCTTCTTTGTATATCATCGATACTTGATATTCCAACAGAACTTATTGATATTGCTGATGCATAAGGTAAATTTATTTAAGGAATGTTCAATTATGAATCTCTTTCTTCAGATACAACTGGTAATTATGTTGTTGCACCACTAGGAACATAATTAGTTGATGATCTAAATTATGGTCTTATCATTGTCTAATATTCTTATTAAGGTTAACCCAATGTTTATTTACTATTATTTTATTCATGATAAAAAGGATCATAAGAAAAAGTTAATTTTGGTTAAGAATTTCTATTGTTTGCTATCAAAAACTAGTTAGTACCCAATGGACTCTAAGCATATGTTTTTGATTAATATGGCATTTATTATTATTATTATTATTATTATTATTATGATTGTTATTATTATTATTATTATTGTTGTTATTATTATTGTTATTATTACTTTAATTATTAACTCTTTTGACTTTGATATGTCTATCCACTTGATGATTTAAATGTATTACTATTCTATGTAAATTATTTATGTTATAATGGTATATTTATAGCATCTCCAAAATATAAATCATCATTTTGAAATCCAGCTGTTTATAATGTTTATTTAACTCCTTAATGTCGATTAATGTCTTATTACTACTACTATTACCATTACTATTGATAATACTATAATTATTCTTCATTATCTATATGATCATGATATATTATATCTCTTAGAGTTTAACCTGACACTACTTCTACACTCTTCTTTAATTAGATCAAATTCTTACTCTTGATGGATTTGTCAGATCTTTATATGAAAGATGTCCTTAATAAACTTCTTCATCATCTTCCTCTTCATATTCCTATTCTCCTCCTTCAATATCTCCCAATATTATCCCATAATTCCTTTTTAATCTTCTCCCACAACTTCTTACCAATCTAAAATTGTATAATGAATTCACTCTTTAATCCCATTTCCTATCAAACTTTTTTCTCTTTTATGCCTTTGTATACAAATGTCTACTTATAATTAGATTCCTATTCAAACTTATATGCACTTTATTGCATTAAGAACTTAAATGTTAAAATTATCCACAAATATAACAATTTTAAAGCAACAATTCAATCTTATTCATATATAATACTTCATTTTTTATTGAATGGAATGTTTCTAAATCATTATTTATTTTTTTTATTGTCTAAAAAAATTTATTATGATTTATTTAAATTAATATTGAATTTCCTTTACTTCTCATCGTTAAATTATGTCCTTAATTCATTATTAAATTTTCTATCCCAAATGCCTAATTTGCAGGCAAACTTTGAATATAAACATTCTTATCATATATTCCAATCTCACCTTATAAAACAACATAGACATATTCATCTTACTATCCTTTTTCTACTATAATTTCATTAGATTTGCAAAATTTTAACACAGATTCAAATGCAATTTCATCAATTGATTATTTAGAGAAATATCGAGTAAAAAATTAAATTTCTTATAATCTCTTGCTCTTTATTAAAAAGAATAATGGTTTTTAAATATTTATAGGTAACTATTACATTAAATTATTAACCTATTTTATTTTATTATATAAGTTACTCTTTACAATTCATCAGAATGAATATTTTAATTTAAGATTTCTTGTGCTTCATCAATAAGATTTTAATCTACTTTATTTAGTTTCAAAAAATCGACAAATAATTCTTATCTAATTAAATTTTAATAAAATATTTATACTCGTTAGTTGAAAGTGTAAATTTTATCAAAACAGAAATAAATAGTATTTAAAAGTAAAATGAGAGTATTTAAAAAGCCACACTAATGATTTGATTAGTTTAATTTTATATTTGGGCATCAATTGTATTAAATGGTAACTTTCTATATATAGTGAATATTATACACAATTATTAATTGTCCAAATGATTGAATCTAAATATGTAGTATCATTATTATTAATTAATGACCATAAATTTGCAAAATAATTGATATAAATTAAGATTAATAAAGCAATAGTACATTTACTCCACTAAAATTAATATTAAAAACCACTTATAGATAAGATCAATAAAACTAATTTCCAAGTTTAATTGAGTTCAAAATTTAATAGTATGGAAGTTCCAATATAAATGCAATTACAAAACATGTTTAATTTAACTAATTTTATTTTTAGTAGAGAATCAATAAATTCAATCACCAAAAATAAAATAATGAAAGCTTGAATCCATTAATCAATATATAGAGATCCAGCCTAGATAGGAACTGTTAAAAGTGAGATCAATCTAATATAATGAAATGCTTGTCTCATATATGATATATATTAAGATTGCAATCTAACTTCATCTTAAAGATAGTTTTCTCTAAAATTAGTATATTTATAATTAAGTTGATCCCAAATATTAGCGTTTCTTTTTAATTTAGTAAGAAATGTTCTAAGTATTGATTATAAATCAGTATGTTTAGGTAATCCACTGAGTTCTTTCCATTTTAGTTGATAATACTATTTTGTGGTAGCAGTACATTGATGCACACTGAGATTATGATCACTTTAATCTCTTTATCTATTGTTTAAATTTGAAAATTAAGATAGCCTTGATTTTCTTTGGCTATAGATTGTTGGATCTTTGACTTCTCCACTATCACTTAACCTTTTTCTGGATAAGTCTGAGAATTCTATTCTGAAATTTCTCATTCCTTCCTCATTCAATACTGGTGACGTATGACTTTGACTTTAATCAGCTTAATTAGTTCGAGATTTTCTTAATAATCTTTAAGACATTTATTATATAAATAATATATATAAGTTTATTTAACTGCTTTTCACGTATAATATTTAAATATTAATATATTTCAGGATTTATTTTTAAAAAAGATTCTTTAATCTTCCAAATATGCAATATCATTTATTTATTATAAGATATAACTGCTATCAACTTTTGGATGTTTAGATTGCATATAACTGAGTAATTTGTCTGTTTTCTATTTGTATAAATGTAATAACAAATACATTAAATTTAATCTAAGATCTTAGAAACATATATTCAGTTTCTCCGATCTATTGATCACATAATTATTTTTTATTTTCTAAAAGATTTTAAAAAACAGGATCTAATTATTTTTAATAAGGAATAGAAAATTTTGGTAATTCAGTATTGGTAATAGGTTATTTTTTTTTATGAAAACTAATTGGTTTAACAACACCTTAAAAATATTTATTTGTATATGTTTTTGATAACAATTATTATTATAAATAGAGATCTTCCTTTCTTTTAATATCAGATTTAACATTGTCTGATTCTGGAAATCTATCAGTAGATGATTTTTTTGGATATTAATTTTATTGAAAAATTTCTGGTAATTTAGTGTTTTTGAAATTCTTTTTGACAACTACATCCTTTTAAATTTATATAGGAGAATGTAAATCAAATTCATTAAACGAATATTAAATTGGATTAGAAATAGCTGTTTCAGAACTATTAATCCAATACATTAGATGTCTTCTTTAATCTAAAGAGAATTCATAATTTGGTCTAGTTAATGCATCTTTAACTTCTTTCATTCTTAAAATTTATAAAATATTTGGTCTTTGATTTTCTCTAATTGTTAAACAAACATTAATAAGTTTGATTAATCCTTATGAATATACATCAGGTATATTAATTTGAATTCTACCTCTTCTTAATTGTTCTTTTACTTAATTCTCTAGAGTTGTTGTTGGAAATAATAATTTTTATGAAACCATAAAATAGAGTATATGTCCAATCTGCCAAATATGTGACTTTTATGTATAATGACCATCAAAGAAGTATTCATAAGGTAAATAAATGGCAGGACAGGGTAATTAACATAGAGTTTATCTAGATGATTTATGAAAATCTGTTATACGAATTTAATAACCTTCTGTTCTACTTAACAATAAAATATTCTCAGGAATCAATACTCTATGTTAAATTCCTACTTCATTTAATTATAACAAAGCATATGCCATTTACAAAAATAGAGACCAAATTATGCTTTCTTACATTTTGTAACCGATATGTTATAATGTAAATGTTTTCAAATCACCTTAATCACAATATTCTTATATTATAACTAATTATTGTTCTTCATTTTCAAGATATTCAATCACTTACAATACGAATTAATTCTTTATTTGAGCTAACATTTTTATTGCATTCAATCCTCAATATAATTATAATCCATACCTTCATTTTTATTTTGTAAATATGTTTTTTATATATAAGTCTGATTATCTTGCATTGATCTTACTTTCTCTATTCTCACTCTTTGACTTACATAAATTTCTTGAAGTATTTCGTAATTTAATTACATATTTATTATTATTATTATATATCTAATATTTATCAACGATTATGTTGCAATAAGGACTAAATTTATGTTAAACTTTTATAAACATCTTAAAACAATTAAATTTATTAATTTCAGTAAAATAGTAGAATAGACTTCCCATATTTATAAACCAAAATTAAAATTGGTTATATTTATCTTAAAACTGCTCTATAATATTTCATTAGAATTCTAAAATAAATAGTAATTATTTTTATTAGACTTATTTAGTTTATAATAATCATTGAAAAAAAATAAAACTTAAAATAGCTTTAGAGAATAATGAATTATTACTATTATAAAAATATAAAAATTAATAATTATTAAAAGGAATGTAGTTATTGATCTTAATGTTATTTTTACTAGTGTTAATCCTGAAAGCTGAATTAGATTATCCATATAGTTGTGACTGTTAAGAACATGACAATAAAGATAGTTGTGAATAACATAAATGTTTATGGGATGAAAACTAAATTGGACAAAAGAAATGCAGAGTTAAAAGTTGTTCTGAAAGAGGAAATTAAGTAGAATAAATCCTATTAAATTTTTTTAGGTAGCTGAATGTGTTGCTCCAAGTTAGTTCTATTCAACAAATAGAACATCTTGTTATCCTTAGGGAATATAGACTGAAATATGTGAACCTATCTCATCATGTGAATAATTAGACGTATCAAAAATAAGTCCATCTTATGCCAGACGTGTTTGTAAGGTTAATTTTTGTGGATATAATAAAACATCAAAAGGATGTAGATCAGTTTCTACTTGTAGTGATATTACAACAGAAGAGGAATGTAATAATTTATTCATTAATGAACTTCCTTCATTATTTTAACCAGTTGCTTATTGTTATTGGGCTGGAGATGTTTGTATGACATCTACAAGGTTTTATGGAGAATGTGAAAATAAGAATATAAAAAATAAAAACTTATGTAAAACACATGGATGTTAATGGAAGGATAATAATTGCATAAATTTAAATTGTACTACAATAACAACAGATAATTGTAATAAGGAGCATATTGATTCATTTGGTAATGTCCATATTTGTTCATTAAAGAATTCTTAATGTAATGTAACAAAATCAGCAGAGATTAGAAAAGAAGATTGTGATAAGATGACTGCTCATACTTTTGATGAAGCTGGTTAAATTTGTAAGCCTTGTAAGTCACTATCAAAATACTTAGAGAAAATAGCTAAGAAATAGATTGTTATTGAAACTTACAATTTTATTCTAATGTTTCCAATTATTATGATATTAATAATATGATTACAACAAATTTTTATTAAATAATATGTAAAAAATCAAAAAGGTACTTAACTTTGTTAATCATAGAGTAAATATCGATTGAAAGATGTGATTGAAGGAAAGACTAGTAATGATGAAAAATCTGCTTAAAAATTTGTTTAGCTTTCACACATTAAAAAAAATGTTGAAGAATTTAACGAATTGAAATCAACATTACATGATCGTAAAGTGACATTTGCTAAATTTGCATTTCGATAATAAGAATTAATTGATGATAAGAAACTTGGTCCAGTTTTAAAAGGTATATGCACAAGAACACGAATAGGATCTATGTAAATAACTGAGTTAATTCCAAAGTTTGATCTATATAGATATCTAAAATAAGCTCAGTAATGATATAATCTTAAAAAAGTTTAGAACCTTCAAAAAGAGTTTTAAGAAGATATGCTCATTGGGAATGGGATTAAGAATAGGAAGAAAAAAAGGAAGTTCCTCCTTCTTATAAGTTTACATCAAAAACAGAGTTTGAATATAAGAAGAAATTGGAAATAAAAGATGCTGAAAAGAAATTAAGAAAAGATATTATAAAAAAATGGGCTTCTAGTTTACCAGATGTAGCAGGATTGACTGCATTTGGAAAATAATTTACAATGTAATCATCTCCATTAAGGAGTACAAAAACAACTTTTTCTAAAACACACACTTATTTTAGTCCAAATCCTCGGAGTGAATCATTATAATTTGTTTCAGGTTTAATTCATGAATTAGATGAAATAAAATAAGATAATTTAAAAATTCGAAAGTAATATTGAAGATTAATTAATAGAAAATTAAAAGGAACACAGTTAACATTATAAAAAATAATAGAAAAGCAATAATAATAAAAGATAGCAAATATGGAAATAAATGGAGAATGATTTTTTTTATATATTGATAAAATTATATATATATATATAGTTAATGATAGAAATGAAGAAGAATATGAATAAAGAAAAATAATTAATTTTAATAAAATAATGTTCGTGGATAAGAATTTAGGTTAGAAATAAAAGTATTAGAAAATAGATATAAGTGAATTAGGTAAGTAGAAAAGATATAATATAAGAATAGGTTTAAAAAAAAAAAGTAAAATAGAATGTGAATATAAATGTGTATACAGGAAATTAATATTCAGATGATTATTATAAAATATTATAAGTTCGAAAATAATTACCTGCTTGGGATGGTAAGATATAGATTGATGATAAAATTAGCAAAGGAATAATTATTTATGTTGTTGGAATAATATTAAGTAATAGTTTTACAAGGAGAGACAGGAAGTGGAAAGACAACATAAATGCCATAATTTTTATTAGAGAAATATTGTAAAGGTAGAGGAATAGCATGTACGTAACCAAGAAGAGTAGCAGCAATGAGTGTAGCTAAAAGAGTAGCAGAAGAGATGGATGTTACATTAGGTGAAGAGGTTGGTTATTCAATAAGATTTGAAGAGAAAACATCAAATAAAACAATTTTAAAATATATGACAGATGGTATGTTGTTAAGAGAGTATAATAAAATATAATATATAAATTAGAGCTATGCATGATCCTAAATTAGAAAGATATTCAGTGGTGATTTTAGATGAAGCACATGAAAGAACATTAAATACAGATATTTTATTTGGATTACTAAAGGAAGTAATGTTGAAGAGACCAGATGATTTAAAAGTAGTAATCATGTCTGCAACTATGGATGCTGAGAAATTTTAAAAGTATTTTCACAATGCTCCACTTTTGGATATACCTGGAAGAGTATTTCCTGTTGAAATATTCTATACTTAAAAACCAGAGAAAAGTTATCTTGATGCAGCTATTAGTACTACAATTAATATTCATGCATATGAAGAACCTGGAGATATCTTGGTGTTTCTTACAGGAGAAGAAGTATGTATATATATATATATAAATAAAACTATAGGAAATAGAAGAAGCTTGTAAAAAGATTACTTCAGAAATTTAAAAATTAGGAGATGATGTAGGACCAGTAAGATGTGTACCTTTATATAGTACATTACCACCAAATTAATAATAAAAGATTTTTGAATCTGCTCCTCAACCTAATAAGAAAGGAATATAAGGAAGAAAAATAGTTGTCGCTACAAATATTGCTGAAACTTCTATCACTATTGATGGAATATGTTATGTAGTAGATCCTGGATTTTCAAAACAAAAAGTTTATAATCCAAGATTAAGAGTAGAATCATTACTTGCCTCTCCTATTTCTAAAGCATCTGCTTAATAAAGAGCAGGTAGAGCTGGTAGAACTAGACCTGGAAAATGTTATAGATTATATACTGAATAATCATATAATACAGAATTAATTGATAATACTTATCCAGAAATATTAAGAAGTAATCTCTCATCTGTTGTATTACAATTAAAAAGATTAGGAATTGATGATCTTGTTCATTTTGATTTCATGGATCCTCCTGCTCCAGAAACACTAATGAGAGCTCTAGAATAATTATATTATTTAGGTGCTCTAGATGAAGAAGGAAATCTCACTAAATTTGGATAATCAATGTCTGAATTCCCACTTGATCCATAATTATCTAAAATACTTCTAAGTAGTAAAGATTTCTATGTTACTGATGAAATTCTTACTATTGTTGCATTATTATCTGTCTAATAAGTATTCTAAAGACCTAAAGATTAATAATAATAAGCTGATGATGCTAGATATTAATTTGTTCATTAAGATGGAGATCATATTACGTTTCTTAATGTTTTTAAAGCTTTTAAGGAACATAATGAAAGCTCTGATTGGTGTTATTCAAATTTTATTAATTACAGAAGTTTAAAATCTGCTGATAAAATCAAAATTTAATTAAAATAAATTATGTCTAAATTATCAATACCTTCTACCAAAACTGATCCATCTAATGCTCTATATTATACATATATTAAAAAAGCCTTAATTTCAGGTATGTTTATGTAAACAGCTCATCTTACTAAAAATGGAGCTTATATGACTGTTAAAGATAGTCAAATTGTTGCCATCCATCCTTGTTCTGTTCTTAATCATAAACCAGAATGGATATTATATTAAGAATTTGTCTTAACTTCTAAAAATTATTTAAGAACTGTTACTGATATTGAAGGTAAATGGCTCTATGAAATCTGTCCTGAATATTTCAATCCTAAAACTATCAAAAATATTGAAACTAGAAAAGAATTCGAAAAAATAGAAAAATAAGTATTATATACTTCTCAATCTATTAGGTTTTAGAAGAATAGAGAAGAAAACCTGATCTCTTAACTGTTGAATAAATACAAAAATTACATAAACATGTTAAATCAGAAAGAACATAATCAGTTTCTTCTCCTAAAACTATTCAAAAATGATTAAAAAAATATTCAATTTTCATTTTTTATCTAATTATTCACTAATATTCAATTTTGTACTATTTGATATTTCTCAAATAATTAATCCTCTCAATTTAAATTTCATTTCCATTAATTTAAATATTGAGTCCTTCTAAAATATAATGTCTTAGTGAAATCTTGAGCAAAACAATATTTTTTTTCTAATTTATAAAATAGAGTATTAGTCATTTAAATTTTAGCTTATCTCATTACAATTATAACTAATTAAAATTTAATGAAATATCCATAACTTTTATTTTTTATCCAAAATAAAATAATTCTATATTTCAAATATATAATGAGTTTCATTCTAAAAAATGTTAGTATATAAATATTCCTACTTAGGAAAGATATTTATAAAATTAAATTATAATATTGATAATAATTTATATATGTATATTCAATATTTGATAGTAATTCACTTTTAACTTCTAAAGGAGAGATCTTTAATGCTAAGATAATATTTAATATTTACTTTCCCAATTCAGAAAAAATTCTGTTTTATAATCTCATAGCATTTTAAATTTTCATGTCTAATTCTGCTTCAGTTAGTTGAGTAGAAGAGGATAAATTAGATTTTGTAATTGTATCATGAGTCAATCCTGGCTTTAAAAGATTATTTTATTAAGTTGTTTTAGTTGGAACAGTTAAAAAGGTAGAATTTTACTATTCAATTTTTGGACTTTTAATTGTTTATTAAGGTTATTATTAAACTTATTACTAATCTTGGATGATAGATCTATCATCAATAAAATTTGCTGCTGAAACAATCTAATCTTTATGAATAGGTTAAACTTTCTATTGTTTTGGAGATTCTTTCAAATTGGATTGACTTTGTTAAATTTTTTATTGATTTTAAAATAATTTTGTGCTAATTACTTGATAATTCGAAATAGCTTTTGTTAAATCAGCATCCCAATCATCACTGCTAATTGATTTTGATTATTATTATTATTATAATTTTTCTCCTAATTTTATAATATTTTATAAATTTTATTAAGTTTTCTCATTAACAAATTTATCATAAGAAAATTTTCCATCTTATTCTATTGCTTATAAAATATTTTAATCTGTTAGTTCTTTTCCATGTTCTATTAGTTTACAAACTTCTAAACTCTTAAATAATAAAATTGAAATCTGTTTATCAAGTTTTCTCAATTTTTTAATTAACCATTCTCCAATAATATTACATTCCCAAGCTTATCTTACATGTTAGAGTCGATCTTCAGATAAATTAATTTTCTTTATTTGAAATTTATGGAAATCTTCAATGAATGATTTAAAAATTTTCCACTCTTCAAATTATTTTTAAGAATAATAACTTAAATATTCAACAATTTATTATTAAGTTAAGATTTTATTAGGTTCAATTTCAGGAGCTAATTACCATTTAGATTTTCTAGGAGCTTTTTTTAAACCATAATATTTTAATATTTTCTCAAAAATTTCGATAATTTAATCACTTTCTTCTCTTGTAAATTATTTTTCAACTAAAAATTCAACAACTTCATCTAATTTAATTGTCCTTACATCTAAAGATATGCCAGATAAATTTTATTTTTAAAAGAATCTTGAATTATTAATTTAATCTACTTTTTATTCTTTATATAAAAACAAATCTATTTAAAATTAGTTAAAAAAATCAATTCTTTCAGCATTATAATTAATTGCATTAACATAGATATCTTTAATTTTTTAAAATTTTAATAAAATATATTATAGCGGTGTTCTTTATAAATTTTTTGACCACACTCTTTTGATATTAATGAGATTATCTCTTTCTTAAATTAAATCATTGTATTATTAAAGTTTAGTTTTCTAAAGTATTAATTTTTCTGTGTTTTCTAATTATTTAAGACAAACTTTAAATGCTTTCCATCCTTCTCCTAAAAATGGAAAGAGTGAAAATTTGATATAAACATTTCTTTATTTTGCTGCATTAACACTTAATAAATTTTTTATCTTATATTTGAGTTTGAAATATTTTTAAGCATTATGAAGAAAGGCATTCAAATCTAATAAAAACTGATCTGTATTTGCAAGTTTAATTAAAAGCATATCTTTTGGAGAATTTCCCATTTAAACATTTAAAAATAATATATCAACATCAGCTTTTAAAGCATTCTCATCATAACAAAATTATTTTAGAAACTTAATCATATTATCTTTTGAAATCAAAATTTAAATATATTTTTGTTTTTTCTTTTTTGATTCTCTTTTCTTTTTTTATAAATTTTCAATTTATTAATGAGAAGTTAAGATTTAGGGTTACTTTTAAATAGTCAATCCCATTTCTTATGCTTATCTTATTAATTCTTTTTTATGAATTTTAGGATTTTCAGTAGAAAACTTGTAATCTTTATCATACCATCCTTTTTTTATTAATCCTTTCATAAATCTTTTAAATATCATTGCATATTCAACATTTATTCTCTAATAAATATAAATGAAATAGTAATACAATTCCTTTTGTGTAAAATTATTATCTTTCTTCTTTTTTCATTTCTTTTAATATTTTAATATATTATTCATCTACTATTTTTCTTTTTCTCTTAGATTATTTTAAAGTTTAAAATGGTACAAATACATCATCATGTTCTAACACTGATTGTCCTCCTTTTGGAAATAATTTTTGAACATAAAAAAATGGTTAAACCAAATGTTCATCAAGCTATTTTTTATCATTTTTAGTATAATGGATATCTGGTTCTACATCAGTAATTGGACATTTTTTTCCTTAAACTTCCATAAATTCTTTATCTCCATATTGATAAGTTGCAGGTTAAGGAATTGATGTTTGTGTTTTGACTTTTTATAATTTAGTTGGTATAGGATGAATTACACCTAATTTTTTATGATTAAATTTTGTAAATCTAAATCTCTATGGACTTACACTGAATTGTTTTAAGACTCTTTATATTGTTTCTTCTGGTTTCGCTGATTATGCTCTTTTCTTTTTTCTCATATAATCTACATTCATAAGAACTGGTGGCATTTTAACTGAATAATTATTTTAAACTAATATACAAATATAAATACAACTTTTCATAAAGAAAAATAATATATATTTCAAAATATTTAACAAGAACAAAATTGTTCTTTTTATAATGGTTATTCTTTTCTTTTAGGAAACGATTCTAATGAAATTTTAGCAATTTCTTTAAAGATCTCATCTATGTTTTCACCGGTTTTGGCTGAACAAGAAAAAAAATAGCAATCTTTAAATGCTTCTTTAACCTTAAGCTAAGATATAATCTACTTATGATTTATAATCTTCAATTTATTCATCATTCTCTCTTAGATCTATTTTATTAGCAATAATTATTTTTTTTATATTCTTAAGTTGGCATGTCTCTAATTTCCACTTACAATAATTGTACATATTACGTATTATAATACATTATGAAAGCTTGCTATCTAATTAATATCAAAAACAATTATAATATAATCCTTGTTTATATATGAATTTTTTCTGATAGACTGATAGTATTCTAGGCAACATATATCTGTAATATTTAAATTAATAGATATGTTATTAACACTAATCTTTTTTTTTGTTTATCTCCAAACAGTTGCTTCATATAAATCTGTAAATATATTAGAAGACATCCTAAAAATACATAAAATTAAATGTAAAACCTTAATAAAATGGCTGACTTTCCAACTTTTGGATCACCTACAATGATTAGACTGTATTCCATAAATAAAGTGATTAATTTAGAGAATAAATTAAAAATTCTTAGAATAATTAATTATATATATTACCTTCTATATTAATTAGATTCATTATTAATATTAAAATATAAAGTATGGATTAGGAAATAAAAAAAATAGATAACTAATTTGAAATAGATGAAATAAAGTATGAAATAAGTTCAGCAAAAGTAGATGGTAAAGAATATTATTTGTATGAATACAAAAAAGAACTTAATAAAGATGATAATGATAAATTAACTTAATTTTTATAAAAATTAGAGACAGGATTAAAAGGAGAAGAAGGAATGGAAGGAGTAATGAATATTTGTAAAGGATGGAAAAAAGAATGTGAATAAAAACAATATTAATGATATTAAGAAATGTTTAATTAAAGAAATGGCAAAAAATTAAATACAATTTTCATTAAGAAGTTTTTTTCTTACTAGTTCTAAAATTAAATTACAATTAAGCTTAAGGATAGAGTGAGTCCTTATTGTATTTATTCTTAATAAGAACATTCTCTAAACTCATTTTTTAAGATTTATTAGGCTATATATGGTTGTAAGAATACTCTGATACGACTAACTACATTTTCAGTGTTAATTTTTTAAGCATAGAATTATGTATCAAAGACTTTTGGTTCTTCTGTATCATCATCATCTTATTCTTCAACTTTAACTAGATTTTTTAATTGATCAAGTTCTCTAATTTTATCAAACAAAGTTTTCTCTCTCATACTTTCATTTTTGTTATTTTTATAATCCATATATTTCTATTACGATTCTTGAAGTTTCTTTTCATCAAAATTTTTTTCCTTATAACTTGTTTCATCATTTGAATCATCACTAAGATCTAATTAATTTTCATTATCATGTTAAACGCTATTTGCATCATCATCTTCTTCCTAACATAAAACGATTGTAAAAATACAAACTTTTTTTATGATTTAAGTATCTACATTAGTTTTTATTTTCTTAACTATAGAAGGTTCCTATTCTATAGTGCTTTCATTATTTTATTTTATTTGATGCGAAATATTTGTTTTAATTCTATTTTCTTTGCCTTCTTGAATTGCTTTCAAACTATTTTACCAAAACTAAAAATATTTTTATTTTATCTATTTTTACATCTTTAAAAGTTTAGATATCTGATTCACTCATTTATAATTGTCCTTTATCAGAAATTTTCTTTAACTTACCAATAACTTCATTAATAATATTTTAGTATTGATTTTATGTTTCTTATGCTTATAAATCAATTATTTGAGAATTCATAAAATTTTTAAATTATTTATTGAAACAAAAATTAGTTATTGTTTTCTTAAAAAGTGAAATTTAATTATCATTCAAAATCAAGAGTAGGTAATATATGAATACTAGATGATTTAAATAATCATTTTAGATTCCAAATATTTTATTTCTGACCTAAATATAAATATTATAATATTATTAATTAGCAGTTATGCTCAATCACATGTAAGAAGAATAGCCTCCATTAAATTTTATGAAACCATCTTATTAACCAGCAATTTAAGGTCCTCGTATAGCTGAATCAATAATAAATCAATAACAAGGACTGGGAGGAGTCGCAATTTAAAATACAAGATAATTTTGGAATGAGAAAGAATAAAATTGGTTGAGGTTGAGCGTAAATTTGAATCCAATTGCATTTGCAAATTATGAACTGTTTAAGAGTGCAAATATTGATATATCAGAATCTCCTAATCCACTCTAATGTTTATTATGCTTCATCATAAAATTCATAATTTTGATACTCTACTTTTTAACTCCATATTATTAAACGATTAAATTATATGAAACTATAGTGGTCTTAGGAGCAATAGATTTTTGGATAATTAAAAATATCAGTGGAAGGTATGAAAATTGATAAATTAGGAAAATTAGTTGGACTACGTTGGTGGGTTGAAATAAATGATAGTGGAAATGAGAGTTGGGTATTTGAAACTTCAACTTAAGAAAAAGGAGAAATATATAGAATTCATAGTAGAATATTCTGGTTTGTATAGTTATTCATGTTCTTAATGTTTTTGGGGATGTTTATAATTAATGCATCCTAATTA